CCTCCTCCTCCTCCTCCTCCTCCTCCTCCTCCTCCTCCTCCTCCTCCTCCTCCTCCTCTTCCTCTTCGTCCCCCAACCCCTCACATACCCACCGTCGAAAGTCACTCAACAATTTACACCGGCCAAGTCCATATCTTCACCATCCCAGGCTGTCTCGACTACCGCGACCTGCCCGCGCCCATCTCCACAATCCAAAACGTCACCATCGGGCAATGCTACAACGCCGCCGACACGGAAATCCTCGCCAGCGTGTTTACCAGCATTCGCGCCTGGACGCTGGGCACTGCTCCCCGCCGAGGTGAGTTGCGAGACCAAAGCGTATTTTGATACGGACTGTGGGGATGCGGCGAGCGTGACGGATAATAGACAGATGGGCAAGTGCTTCAACACGGTGGATAACCCGGCGGTTACAAAGGGGTCGGTGGGGCAGAGTTTTCGGATTGAGTGCTGCGAGGGTGATGGGAAGGGGAGTTGTGTGTTTGACTAGGGATGATCACGTCTGGGAGACTGGTGTTGGGGGGGGGGATGTTATCGTCAGGTTACGCAGGCCGATTATATTCATTAAAACTGCAATGAGCGATATCTTCCAGGTCGGTAATCAATGAGGGTATAGTCACCAAAAATTGAATGTTCTCTTGTCGGGTTCTATCTTCTCTATGCTTGTGCTCTCTATATTCATTTCTTCTGCTCAACTTCCACCTCCTTTACATCATCAACAAAGAGTGTTTCCTGCGCGCTCCAAAGCTCGCTGTACAAGCCTCCACGATCAATCAGCTTCTCGTGCGTGCCTGATTCAGCCACATTGCCTTCTCTCAGTACAATGATGACATCAGAGTCGTAGATTGTGCGTAGTCGGTGTGCAACAAAGACCGAGGTGCGCTTCTTTTCCTTGACTAGGGAGTTGATGTGTGAGAGGAGTGCTTGCTCGGTATGGGTGTCTAGGGCGGACGTCTGTGCATGATTGTTAGTAGGAAGCATAGGTAGAAGGGGACGGGGGTACGCACTGCTTCATCAAAGAACAACAACGGTGGGTCCTTGAGGATCAACCTTGCAACCGCGAGACGCTGTTTCTCTCCTCCCGAAATCATCATGCCGCGCTCGCCGACCATGGTCTTGTAACCATCGGGAAACTGGCTGATGCTCTCGTGTATAGAAGCCCGTCGCGCAGCTTCATACACTTGCTCTGAAGATGCGTCCAGATTTCCATAATGGATGTTGTGCTCGATGGTGTTATTGAAGAGAGGTGTGTCTTGTGGGACGACGCCGATCGCGCGACGCAAGCTGTCCAGGGAGACGTCACGGATGTCCTGGCCGTCGATGAGAATGCGACCCTCCTGTGCGTCGTAGTACCTGAACAATAAGCGCAAGATGGTTGACTTTCCGCAACCGCTGGGTCCAACGATGGCGACCTTCTTGCCAGCCGGGATGGTAAGGTTTAGGTTCTTGATGATGGGGCGGTCGGGACGGTAGCCGAATGACACATTCTAACGCTTGATCTCGCCTTTGCTGAGAAGTAGGGGCGGAGCATTGGGCTTGTCGACAACCTGTACATTGACCTTTTGAAGGTTGAACAATGTTTCCATATCGAGTAGACTTTGGCGGAGTTCGCGGTACATGGATCCGAGGAAGTTCAGAGGCACGGAAAGTTGGAAGACTAACTGGTTCACCATGACCAAGTCGCCGACAGTCAGCTGGCCGGTCGCGACACCACTGCAAGCCAGGTACATCATGGCCGTCAAGGCAGACGAGAAGATGATGTTCTGGCCGGAGTTTAGGAAAGCGAGGGAGGTTGCGACCTTGATGGAAGCCTTCTCATATGCCAGCAGGGAATCGTTGTAGCGACCTACCTCGTACTTTTCGTTGTTGAAGTACTATTGCATTGTCAGTGGCAGTCGCGCAAGCATGGTCGCAACGGTACCTTGACAGCCTCATAGTTGATCATGGAGTCGACAGCGACAGTGGCTGCCTTGTTGTCGGCAGCATTGGCCTGCTTCCTGAACTTTGTGCGCCACGAGGTGGTGAGGATAGTGAAGGCTGAGTATGCTGCCATGGTTGTGCCGGTGATCATGGCAAACTGCCAGCCGTATTGGTAGGTCTGGTGCTGTCAGCGACTGCACGACATGTGGAATCTCGGAGAAACACACCAGAATACCACAGACCAGCGAGATCTCGAGTGCCGTGGGCAGGATGTGGAAGACCATCGAGGTCAGCAGAAAGCTGATGCCCTTGGTTCCTCGGTCAATTGCCCTTGTGAGCCCACCGGTTTGCCTGGTGAGGTGGAAGCTCAGGTCCAGCCTGGAGCAAGTGCTCGTAGACACTGCAGGCCACCCTCCGTATAGCCTTCTGCGCGACGCTGGCGAAGACGGCGTTGCGGAGTTCTTGGGATATGGTTGCGCCCATGCGGGTGAGGCCATCTGGTGCACTTGGTCTCAGTCATGGTGGGATGGAATTGCATTGTTTGCTGTAGCTTACACGCCATGACCATGGAACCTGCCACTGTCCACGCGGTTCCACCAACCGCCACAAAGTCTATGTTCATCGAGTCTACAATGCTCTTGAAGTAGAAGGGCACCTGGACGTTGAGCAGCTTCGCGCCTATGAGCAAGCCCACGCTCAAGCCGACCCTGAGTCTGGTGCCCATGTTGTCCTTGGGCCACAGGTACTGCGACATCTCTTTCATAATCGCCCAGTCAGCCTTGCGCTGCTCCTTGCTGCTCAATGTTTGCTCCTGCAGCAGCGGGTCCGTCTTTGCGGCCTTTGCCGTGGCGGGGTCGTTGGCAGGTTTGGCGGCTTTGGTGTCTGCAATGGCCGTCTTGGAGCCAGGCGGCGGCCGCTGACCGTGGACATCCTTTCTGTGCAGGGGAGAACTGGTGAAGACGCGCTGGGCATAGAATGGTGAAAGGCGCAAGCGCAAGCTCAAGCTGGTAGCGCGGAGGCCCGGCCGGTGCGCGGCGCGGGCAAGAGGAGGAATCAACATGGCACAAGTCACATGTCAGGGTACAGGAAGCTTCAGTGTTCAGAAAAGTCCAGATAGGTACAGGCAAGGAGAAAACGAAGAGAGTCTTGATTGTGTCATGGGCGGGCATGATTTCGTGATGAGTACCTGCCTGGGGTAGCTCTCCCGCATGTTTGCCGCGTTTGTGCCGGCGCTGGTTGCATCATCGCTCCCAAGCTCCGAGCTGGCCCCAAACATCCCAAAAACATCCCAAAATCGAAAAGACGCGCCAATTGACCGGCACAGCCATGCTACGACCGGCTGCCTCGCCCTGGAATACGCTTGTGCACCGCACAGCCGCGGCAACTACAAGGCGCACGCCAATTGCCTCGCGCTGCATCAACATCCATGCGACAAGCTCTTCCGCTGCGCCATCACTCGAGCCACAGGTGAAGGTCGATGCAGATTCAGTGGCCCCAGCGTCGCCTGGTATGCTCTTACACTGGAGGTGAATCGACGACATCATGTGACTGACACGCATGCAGATGCCCGCTTCGAAGTCATTGGCACGCCCTTCTCGCTCCTCTCCGTCTCCCTCTCCGCCTCACAGACGCTCTACACCCGCCGGGGAACATTGGTTGGCCTCAGTGGGAAGTCGGAAAACACGCTGTCCACTCTCTCCGTCCTCGGGCCTTTTCGACGTGCACCAGTCGGCATCCCGTTCCTCTACCAGAAAGTCTCGTCCACGAGTCCCGTCACAGCTCTTGTTTCGACAAAGTCACCAATCTCGAGCATAGTGTCAGTCAATCTGGATGGAAGGCAGGACTGGGTCATCAGCCAGCGGCAGGCCCTGCTTGCATGGACTGGCCATACGCTAAAGTTGACGCCACAGTACAACGTCAAACTGGGGCTGACCAACTGGGGCAACACATACATCACAGGCAGAGGACTGCTTGCCCTAGCAGGTAGTGGCCAGATATATCAGGTCCAAGTCAAGGCTGGCGAAAGCTATGTTGCGCATCCTAGGTACGCTGCACGTCAACCATGCTGAGACAGAAGCTAATTGCGCCACAGCAACGTTGTGGCATACACCGCCTCCTCAACACCACCGCTTCCATTCCGTTTCAAGTCGTCCAACATCCGCTTCCAGGTCCCAGATCTCGGCTTCGGCACATTGGTACAGCGCGTGCGGTTCTTTAGGGACATGACCAACACAGCAGCATGGCGGACACTAGCCACCACATACCACACTCTGAAGACATTGATGCGGAGAACAGTCTTCGGTGATAGGGTGAGCATTGCATGCGCTTTTGAACCTTGGATGTGCGACACTAACAGTCACCAGCTCTTCCTTCGCTTTGAAGGCCCCTCAACATTACTCGTTCAGTCCCGTGCATCTCGTATTAGCGACGTCCTCACATTACGAGACGTGAACGAAATTGCAGAAAGTCCACCGGGCGCCGTACAAGACGCAGTAACTCGCAAGATCAAGGAGGAGATCAAGGAAATCGAAGCAACAGGCACCACACCGCCACTTGCTTCAACAGACGCATCAGGCACAATCAGGCATGCGACTGTTAAAGACGGAAAGGCCGAATTTCAGCAAAAGTCAAGCTGAGATGTGCTGTATAATATGCAAAATAAATGATACCTTTGTCTGCATCGACAGCGTGCTGTGGTTATTTCGAAGCTCCCTGTACATCGAGACATCTTTCATCAAATCCCAAGTCACACCACCCCAGCATGAACATGTCGCGAAATAAATGGAAAGGGCCGAGCCATTCGCAAGCCCGACCTGGCCAAAACAATACAGAATAAAACCTTGGAACATCCCGGTCTTCCTTGGCGCTACGTCATTCCTGACGAGTGCTAAACTACATGTACCCGTCCAGTCCCGGATGCGACAAGTGATTCATCTTACCAGCATACATAGTCTTCTGTACATATCTTACCTTCTTCGTGTCGTGATCTACTCGTTCTCGATTTGAGTCTGTCGCTTCAATTCGTCGCCGTGCATAATAAACACCCAGCAACACCAATTACCAACGACCTCACGACCTCAAGACCTCAAGACCTCACGACCTCACGACCTCACGACACCCCAAAATGTGCATAATGAAATCCTACGAAACGCGCGGCCGCACCGTCGTCGAACCCCCTCCGCGCCGCGGAAACTTCACCTCCCACACCCCCGCCGGCGTCATGCGCTTGCCGCGGGAATGGCGCCGGTCTGCCTCGTACAGCGATGACGGGCGATATGTTGAGTACAGGTGCGTTGAATCTGCTTTTCAATTGTCGGTAGGTGAGAAGATGTTGGACGATTATTCAGACGCTCCCAGCCCCGCGCGATTGAATACATTGAGGAGCCGAGGCGCAGCACGCATAGGGCGAGGAGCGTGAGCAGGCGCAGGATTAGTGATGTCGAGGTGAGGAATCCGAGGGGCAGTTTTGTCGATGAGAGGGTTTCCAGGAGGAGTGTGAGTCGGGTTAGGTATTGAGTTCAGGTCGGGAGATGGAGTGGCTACAATGGCGGGTGTTTTGGACTTAATCTTGAGAGATGTAGACTTAATGAGTTATGGGAGTCGGGATTGAAATGCATATCACATATATTACATCGCGAAGCTGCTTGACCGGTTTGTCAGAAGTGGATTGAGAGACAGCATGTCTGAAAACGATTGTATACTGTACAGATTGCCTGCTGAGATAGCGAGAAGCGCGTGGCGAAATCATAATCAGTATGCCTAGAAACAGTTGTATGTCGTGACAGATGAAGTCCCAAATGGAAGGCTAGTCGATAACATAAACCTGAAAGTCGAACAATCTGATTGGTGTGCTCGCTTGGGGCCAACACGTCTATGTTTAGTGTAGGGCCGCAGCTCCTCTAAATCCCCGACAAGGTCTCGGTGAGTTTTCACAACCGTACCTTGGATCCAGACCAGCACTACTATGCATAAAGAACCACACTATACAGGGGTAACCGAAAATCACGGGATGAGGTCAAGGTTGGCTGCAGGTCATGCTGTGCTGGACGGGTTGAAAATAGATGCCTGCCACATACCTCAGGATATGGGCCAATTGAAGGAGCGTCAATGTCCGTTTCAATAGAGGGAATAGTAGGCCTAATCGGCGAGCTTATGCAGAGATGGTGAAACATCGTTCAGATGATGCCGAGTTCTGGAGGTGCCCGTACGTTACGACTTGCCCAAGTGAGTAGAATGAGCGAAGGGATTAAGAGGCTGCCGCCTATCAGTAGCAGACGTTGAGCGTATGTATGCATACCTGGTTGGTCGTGCTCGGAGTGAGCCTTACCATGGCCACCTTATTCCGCGCGGCATAAGTAGCTGCAGTGGGGTGACCGGTATTCGTGGAATTGCTTGGACTCGACGTAATACCATTACGCGTAGACCGCAGCGGAATTTTCTGAATTTCGTTTCTGAAGCCAGAGCACCTGTGATCGGATTTGTCTGCACAAAGCCTGACATCGCTAACGGACGCAAAACGGTTGTCGTTGTCGTGGCGGACGCCATGGAATATACCCAGGGTTAGCCACAACGGCCAGGGCGTGGGCCTCACGGCATTTCCACGTGCAGGACATTCCTCTCTCCGCTCAGAGACAGAGGTTTGCGCCATTGCGCAGGGCTGATGGCTGCGCCATGCATCCGAACGACGATCCCGCGCGTTGAAGCGTTTGCTTGGAGGTTTTAGGAAGCCTTCGGTCACCCCGTTTAGCAGCAGATCCACAGTTCAATGCAGCAGCGAATGGTGAGGCTGAAGCTGTTGATGAGCCGGTGTGGACTTGATCAAAGAGCTGGGTTGACAGGGAGTAGACTAGTGTGCCTGGCTCTAGCGTCTTGGCAAGATATGCTCATCCTTGCCAACATGTTCGCTTACACACTGTGACCACGAGCTCTTGCCCCTCAGACTGTGCCTGCGATGCTGTCCGCCCGGAATACCGAGATAAAGCTTTTCTACGGTATCGTTTCCGTGTCCGTATGAAACACTGTATGGACGGCCTAACATGCCGCTGCACAATCCTTCCATCGGTAATTATTTGCTAATCCTAAAGAGGATGTATGCTGCGAGCACGTGAAGCTTCCTGCATATCTCGAAGTCTCAATCCACCGCTCTTCCGGAATGATGAGCAGGATTCAGCCTTATGGTCTAAGCCTTGCCCACTGCGCATACATGGATGCTACCCGAGGAGCGTAGCACGGATGGCCATCTTCCGTTTACTTCGAACAACAATTCCATCATATTCGACTGACAAGCCTCAATGATGAGCGCTCCAAATCATCACGATTCGATTATCTTTGTTTCTCTTGTTGGACTTCTGTTTTGCACTGGCTGAACGGCAAACGAGTGCGCCTTCGCGAGATCGATACGTAGCACCGTTGAACGAATATGGTCGGTGTTCCAAAGAGTACCGGATGCTTTACATGTCGCAGACGGAAGATCAGTGAGTATGCCAAGTGCGACGACGATTAAGACCTAATGTGGTACAGAATGCGGTATGTTCTTTTACAGTCTGAGTCTGTAACACAGAGAAGGGTACTAAGCCTGCGCAAGACGAGACATGGCCGAGCTGTCTGAATTGCCAGAGGAATAGCAAAGACTGCCCGGGCCCTCCAGCTCGACACACCTTCAAAGATCTAGGCCCTAGACTAGCCGGTACTGAACGCTCAACTTCGAGCAAACATCTTCTCATCCCAGGTAAGCCTGTCAATCATACAATGCAGCACTAACTAACAAGTGCTATAGCTCAACAATACAAAAGTTTGACGCAACTCAATGAAAAGTATGCCAAAAACGGCTCCGTCGTTCACAAATTCAGAATCTCTCAGGAGAACAGTGCAGTCCAGAAGCGACGGCCGCAAAGATCAGTTACAAAAAGCTTATCTCCACCAAAATCACCCTTCCTCAGACAACCGTCTCCTTCGCAGCACCATGAGCTTGCACGTGCTTTGATAGCAGCCACGACCACTGGAAGTGTTGGAGTTCGCATGTCTGTCTTCGGTCCTTTCATTCGAGAGGTTCCAGCGAGATTGGGCCATAATGCTGCTCTGGACGCTGCAGTAGCTGTCCTTGTAAATGCGCACATCTCGTTGGTACAGAAGAAGACAGCGCTGGAAATAGTCAGCCCACAATTGTATCTCCGGGCCATTAGAGCACTGCAAACCTGTCTTGAGGATGTGCAACAGGGCATGTCTTCGAACACTCTCTGCGCTTCTGTGATACTGAGTCTTGTAGAGGTGAGCTGTTCGCCCTTCACTCGGAGCTGTTCTAATCAGAAAGTCCAGGCGCTCTCGGGGCCTCGAAAAGGAAATAGATACCTAGCGCACGTGGGTGGCGCAGGACGTTTGATGGAGTTGCAAGGCCCAGCACAATTTCATGACTCGTTCGCAAAAGAGATGTTGCGCTTCAGCAGAGGCGGTGTTGTGAGTTATTCCTATCCTGCGATGCGCTGCACGAGGTTCAGATACTCGCAACAGCAACCGTGGCTTTTCTCAAGCTGTCACACAATATTATTCAATTTAAGCACCTACTAACTTTGCTCGATAGATTGTGACTTCAATTTATGAGCGCAAACCATGCTTTTTGACCTCTCCGGAATGGCAGTACATTGCTTTTGACAAGACGGGCCTCAGTTTCGAGGATGGTCTGAACACAGATCTAGTGAAATTAATGGCTGAATTGCCAGGAATACTCAGAGAGCTCAAGGAGCTGAGCAATGAGCTCATATTCCATCCTGAGAGCGACGCTGGCCACTACAATATCGATGCCAACCTCGATGCCAACCTCAATTTCGTTGACACCTCTTCAGACAGTTGCCCATCGCTCGACTTTTCGCCTCACAGTCTTGACAATTTTGACTACCTGGACGATCTGCCATCATTTGCACAATCACTTGCAAGGACTGCCCTGCTTCACCGAGTCCAAAGCCTCAAGGACGCGCTCTATGAGCTGGGGTCTCACATGAATGAGCGGCTTTCCAATGGCTCTGCAGCTATCGAGCTGCCATCTATTGAAGCGAACAACCCAATATCCACTTCCTACCACTTCACCAGTTGGCGCGACATGACAGGTTACAGTTGTTACTGGTCTCTTCTCATCCTGCTCAACAAAGTCATGATGCGACTCCTACCGCCTTCTGAACCGCTCATCCAGGAACTGCAATCCGAGTGTCGATCAGTTGCCTTCGAGATATGCAAGACATGGGAAGATGCATGGTCAAACAAACCGATCGGCGCGCTACACGCCGGGCTGAGCTTCGTTGTGGCACATGAGTATTGCGAACCAGATGTACAAGAATGGGTACTGTCAAGCTTGAACGCTCTATTGGACTATCAAGGCGTTCACACTTTCCGCTGGTCTGAAGATGTAATCGCGATGATGAGTGAGAAGCTGGCCGGCGAGGGGCCAGGCCTTAGCTTCTCACACGCGACTGCAGTAGAACAGGCGTCTTGATCAGGTTCATGCACTGTATCGCACACACTATGCAGTGTGGACGGACAGTGATAAGATAGCGGCGGAAATCGGACTTGTCCGTCGGCGGGGATGACCACCATCTTGGGCATCATCCCTTGAGTCACCAAAGCCCGCCATGTAAGACACACCAAGGAGCGATTGTTTTTCCTTTTCGTTGGTCGACTGGACAGACCGCTGACCGGTTATAGGCGCTTACTCTGAAGCCACTCAGCGTCTAGACCTAACGACATGAATACCTCTGGCAGATGCTGCGAGACAGCATTTGTCTCCTATGGCACCAAGTCTGAGGTCGTAAGCTGAACAGTAGCAAGAGAGCAAGCTATTATCACCGGTCCCCAAAGGCATGCAGGTTAGCGGTCAAACCCGCTGCTCGTCAGTTAGAAAATGACAACACACAGTTTCGTCCACAACGTGCTTCAATTCTCATTTATCTACCTGTGTACCATGATCTCGTTCATCCATGTGCTAAAACAGCATGAAGCATAACGCACCGCCGTATGCATGCTCGCCAACAGAAAAGCCAAAACGTCAGCGCTCAAAATCCAAATACCAACGTTAAGTACGCCATCTATAATCAATAAAGCACCGCCAGCACCAGCGCAAGTCTAATCTTTGATCCCACATCGTTTTTTACATTCCGCGCTCCCAATGATGGCACCTGTGCCCACGGGAGGAATGTTTTGGCCGGTGCTCTGGGTGTTCATGCCCTCGGCGCCAAAGCCAGCACGAATGATGTCTGGCTGCACAGTCCATAGCGAAGGCAGAACGTTGAGTGTCCCAGCGTCTTCGCTGTTGAGTGCGCTGATCAATACGACGGGCTCGCAGCCTAACATTGTTAGTAGGCCTACAGTTAAAAGGATTAATTCAACATGCCATTGTTCTGCATCATGTGCAAGCTGCCAGCAGGGAAAATGGTCATCTTCATCGCCGTCAACTCCGTCTTTACAGTCTCGACACCGTTCTCTGAGATCATCCAGGTGGTGGTGCTCCCATTCATGGCAGTCACCAAGTTGGCTGCCCTGGGGTGCAGGTGTGGTGGCAACATCCCGCAGCCGGCGAGCTTTAGTATTGAGATGGTCATGCCCTGGGTTGTTAGGGCAGGGAAGCTTGCTGCATCGGCGATGAGGACGGCGCCAGTCGGGCTGTTGAAATTGGGATGTTGGTTGAAGTTGTAGACCCAGTCACTGTCGGAGAGCAGGGCCTGGCGGTCGAAGTTTGAGGCAGCCGCCTTGAGCTTGGCATTGAGATCTGGGTCGAGGGTGCGAGATTTGGTGGTGGTTTGCGCAGCCACAAGGAGGGGAAGAGCAGTCATGAAGAAGCAGAGTTGGGTGAACATGACTCTAGTGGATGGTCTGTAGGACGAAAGGCGGAGAAGATGGAGGGGCAAATATCAGGTATGTGTTGCGTGATGGGCTTATGGACACAGGCAACAGCAAACCTGATATATGGACTCGAGTCAGATAGGATTGGTTTGTCGTACACCCTAGCGGCAAAAAAAACACGATAGAGGTGGTTCTGAGGGGTAGATCAGATCGCGTTCGCGGGGTATCTGTAAATTGGGCAGCAGAATTGGTATGAGATTGGATAGTCAGACGGCTGGCTCAACGGGTGCCCCGTCGCGCTGTACACATTCGTATCTAGACTTATATACGCCTGGGTCCAAAAGCAAGGCGTTTGTCAAGATGGCCGAAGGATTGCATCTGGCCGCTGACCGCTCCGCAACTCTATGGCATCGTTGTAGGCTTTCAAGCCACTGTTACTCTTGCTGGATGAGGCGTCCTGTTGGAATCGACCAGTAGGCTCCTTGCTTGCTGAAAGTTGCAATGGTGTGTTGTCAGCGCCTCTTCGCTTCAGCCCTGTAAGAGATCGCGCTTCTTTACGAAGAGATGGGGAAAAACGTCGCAGCTGTCGGGACAAATGTATGCGGATTTGAGGTATAGGAGTACTGTAGGACCCATTGCCGAGATGCACTGCTGGCAAGGTACCTAGGTACATTGATACTTTGTCTGCATGGCGAACCTGGTCCGCGGGTACCCGTCGGGGTTGAGATCCAGCATGTGACCACGGCGACACCGACGACCAGATCGACGTCTGTAGTTCGTCTCGATGTCAGTGGAACGGGAAACCATCGACTGTTTGAGCTTTCCCCCGCGGTAAGACAACATGGCTGGTCTGGGAGCATGGTGGTGGTGCATGCGACTCTTCGCGGTAGTAAGTGCGTGATTGGCAACAGCACCTCTACTGCTTAGATTCAGCAATCGATCTCGCTGGCAGTCACCCAGTCTTGAGTAACTCAGACAGGCACATTACTAGAAGCGTAAAGAAGGCCGTCCGTGCCTAGCTGCGATGTAAGACTGGTGGCCTTGTATTCCAAGACATCAGATCAGACCGCATCCAACAACGTTGAGCGCGCAGGCCGCACTGGCAGCCGCCTTACAGTGCTGCGTTAGGCGCCTAATTGATCACTGCGCGCGTGCTGACGCCACAGTAGCGCAACAAAGGGCCGGAGCCTTGCATGAAACATCTCACCAGTAGATGGCTGTCATGAAACCAAAAAGCCTGTTGTACTGTCAGAGTGCGTAATCGACCAAGCGAGAGTCCGGGCCTCAACCGCGACACGAGGTCGGATGCGGCCATCTTCTTTCGAGACATCATGCCTCTAGTGGTGGGGTTGTGGCCGCAGGCATAGGCGGCAGTCACTGAGCGAAAAACGCCACAATATCGAAATACGTGGGACCAGGGTCGATGAATTGGAGAACGTGATGGGGGAGTAACACAACATATCGTGCACGTGCGACAGAGTCTTTATTAGTATGCTGGTGGCTACCAAGAACGACAGAGTAGTCTCAACTTCTGAGGCGAATAACATTGATGGGCGACCTTTTCGTTATTTGTGACAAGCTCTAGAGACTCGACGTAAGCGCAGCCACTGGCTTTAGGGCGATGTTGATGTCGGACCAATGCAAGATCGGCGTATGATCTGCAGCTCACTTCACTGTGACAGTTCAGTCCGATCAATGAAAAAGCCGCTCAATTTGTCATTTAATGTGGCAAGACTGTGGGCATAATGGGTCACTAAGGGCTCGAAGGAGTAAAAGGAGACTCTACGGATGCTACACGGCGGCTGGCACGGGCCGCAAACCGACGAGGGAAGATTCATGCCGCTTGGTGATGTTGCATCCAAGATTTTGCCTAGTGGAGATCGGCAAACTTCGAGTCGTGGCTATACAGGCCGAGAGCTATCCGGTATCTTGATTGTGTCACTCTTGTCTACGCATCAGGTACGACATGATGCCCCAGATGCCACGCATGGCCTCAGTCCGGTCGTCCATGTTGAACAGATCGAACCAGCGCGTCCGTTGTAGCTTTGGTGAGCACCAGTCTGCATCCTTTGGAGGCTGTGTAGGTAGAATCCCGTCGGTGAGGAAATCGAGGTAAGCTGGATGCACACGCAATCGCAAGACGCTGATATGATGGTTCAGTGATGATACCATGAAGACCTAGTAGGTTTAGCAGCCATCATACCCCTCAAAAGCATGAGTCAACGTACATCGTCCCACTGTACGTTTTTGTCTTTACCAATTGCTTCGTACGTAATCTTGGGATCCCAAGACGGTTGACTGGGTCGAAGGATCTTCCAAACTTCAGCAGGAGTAGGTCTACGGCGAGTCTTGGATCCATCAGGGTTGCGTTGAACTAGTTTCTCCTCGGACTGTTTGGGTGCTTCTTTGATTGACACGTCGCTTGCACCCTGTGCATCACCAACTTCGCCTCCAGGTCCACCGCCCCAGCGGGGCTTTTCTGTCCACCATTTTCCTTCACCAGCTCTCTTTTCAGTCTTGCCTTGTCGTGCACGCTCTTGAGCCAGAAGCAAAAGGCCGCCGAGTTCACGAACAGTGTCGAGCACAGAATCTGCCGCGAGCGTGCCTGTGGCTCCGAAGCCGATGTCTGCTCGACATTGCATGCCCATGACTGGGCCTTCCATGTAGCCCTGCCGTGCTTTCGCCCTGTCCTGAGGCCCTCTCCAAGCTACTGAGCTCATCCTGACGGGGAAGCGGACGTTGTCCATCTTGAGCACGGGAGGACGTCTGTGTCCCGCCAGTGTCACACCAAACGCCCATGCTATTGGCTCAAGGAAAGCTCTCACACAATCGATGCGATATTGATCTGGCATCTCAGCACCGTTGCCGATGCGATAGCCACGATAGTAGCCCTTTGATAAGTCCACTGGCTTATCCTGAGCCCCGACATTTGTCGCCCAGGGCACCCTTGGTGGGGCAGTTCTGGCGGGCAGCGTTCGACTCAAGTCGGCAGAAGGAGTGTGTATGGGCTGCTTTCCATGATGTGGCGGGGTTGCTGTCGTGTTGGTTACGGCTTCCACCTTTGCTTTCTTTCTGGGCTCTTCTCCATCTCCATCTGGGCTTCGAAGCCCGGGCTCCGTCTTTGTGTCACAGTCGGGGTTTGTTTCACCTGATTTTCCCTGCTCCCCAGGGGTGGCTTTGACCTCAGAGGAACCTGGCGGTGTTTCGTTGCCGTTCTTGTCGGCTCCTGTGCTGGGGGACTGATAGTCGTCCAATGAATTGTCCCAATAGTATGCCATATTATCTAGACCCTCCCAGAACTTACGAAAATGTGCCAGTCTTAATGGCACTTGACCTCTACTGCCTTTACGAGTAAGAGTAGAGAATGCATCGTCATTGTTGAAGAGCAGTTCCCTCGCACGAACGAAGAATTCGTTGTGATCAGGTTTTCGTCGGCCATTGCTAAGTAGGGTGACAGCAGATCCTGAGGACATCAACAGGTCTATGTGCTCTGGTGGTCGCAGCCAATCCTTGGGCGGCAGATGCAATGCGCCGTCGGACAATGACGACAAAAGTGTTTCGAAGTCGCACTCTGATTGAAACGTGACATTGAGCAGTCGCAGAGTATCTTCAGTCACATCGGCTGGCTTCTTTAGACCCAGGAAATGTCGCGATAAAGCCGGCCCTGCACTATCCGTCCAGGAGGATGGGAGTTCAGTGGTTGAGGGTTGTGGTGGCTTCAAGGACGGGAATGTCACGGGTACCGGCCGGGCTGGAGGCTGTCTCTTCTTCTTCGTGTCATGTTGCCCAGCGAGTAGGTTACCTGTGTGCAAGGGTGACAAGGTCAGTTTTGTTTTATCGGCACGTGCAGGCTAAACTCCAGGTGAAACATGTGAGTGTGTGTGCAGGTGTCGAGGACCCAAGGCACGAAACATACAGCTCCTGCCTGCGAACGAGTTTGCTGAAAAGCCGCCGCAAAAGACAGAAAACCCGGAATGTTCCCATGCTCTTCTGGAACCCGAGTGAATCTTGGCCATGCTCAGGAGGCTGAGTATGTGCATTCGCGGCGTTATTAGAGCACCGACGCGTGGGCAGGATTTGAAGGAAAGTGCGCTTCCGACGTACCGCTGAAGCTGAACATAGTTGCTTCGCTCTGTTGGGCAAGTTCTGTGTCATCTGTCGAGTGGTGGTGGAGGTGTCGAGCCGTGGTGGATTTGTGGATGTCGTCTCCAGGACATCTGCGGCGCAGATCCTGGGAGGTGGGTTCGGCACCGTCCTCGCCTGTGCGCTACGGTTTGCTCCTGTTCACGCTCGTTCGCCGCCTCTCCTCAACCGCTATACCGGTGTTGCGCAATTGTCAGATGCATCAAACTTTCGCAACGAATTTACTGACAGCTGTCATGTGGCTGCCGGCATGGGCTTGGGCTTGGCCACTGGAATAGCTTTGGAGCTGTCAGGGCACCCAGACCCATTGTCGAAAGGGCCTCTTCAGGTCACGCAAATCAGTAGAGGTGCAGTCAAACATTGAAATCGACGCCGTCCACTCCTCACAGAGGTAGCCGCCTAGCCTCTCCAGACGGGGCAATATCAGGAGGGCGTTAGTCACGTGTGGCTGGACCAGCGCCAGGCGTCGACGGCCGCTTACCCCTCCACAGACCACAACCTCACCTCTCCAGGGCTCGCATCGCGACGACCGCGACGACGCCCTCGCACGTGGCCGCAAGCATGGCTAGCCCACCAGCATTTGCTCGGCTGAGACGGCCACGGCGGCACTGCGAAGAGCTACGAGGCCACTTGCGCTTCATGTTTGTTGTACGCTGCTCGAAGCGGCACCTGGCACATGCGGCGTTTCAGATGCGTCCAAGCGCACCTCTTGATGCCAACGGTTGACTACCATCCGGTCCCTCTTCGAACGCCAGCCATCATCTTCCTTTGTGATTCTAATGTGCAGCATCAAGTAGCGAAAACTTTCATTTCCCAGGTTAATATGCTCAAAGCGCCCGCGGCGCTTGCATTTCTTTCTCTCCGTCTCGTTTTTTGAGCCCTGTTGGCGTTTCCTTCATTGAGCCTGTAGACTGCATGGCCTCTCCGCAAGAATCAATTACCACGGTGAGCGGGCGGCGATGTACTCGCTCCCGGGCCCGAACAGCGGCCACTTCTATTCTCACTTCGTCCGAGGCCGCCGTTGTCACTCCCACTGAGGTCACCACATCATCCACTGCGGCACAGGCGCCGCCAGTACAGACGAGTCCCGCAGAAGCAGCTCCTCCTCCTCCACCTCCGCCTCCTCCATCTTCAGCGGCAGCAGCGCCGCCCCCGTCTTCAGCTCCAGCAGAACAGCCAGCCGCTGCGCCAACCACGACGCAATCGGCAGTTTCTTCGGCACTAGGTACGCAAAGTACTGCTCCTATTCCATCTGCGCCGCGAATTCTACTCCCAAATCCTGCGCCTTCTCAGCAGGCAGTTGCCCCACCGCAGCGACCAGTGCAGGTCAGCGCACCGGCGCCGGCAGCAGAAGCAGTCGTGTCGTCGGTCGCTCAAGTCTCGACACCAGTTCCTGCGTTACTAGCGCCTACAACTCTAGTTCCCACAGTTCCAGTACCGACCAGCTCTAACGCAATACCCATAGCTGCTCTACCACCATCTCTCGACCAGTCTTCGGTGCTCCCTTCCTTCATATCCCCTCCTGGGACAGCTGAGTCTGCAGTTCTGCCATCATCGCTTGTAGTTGATGCAAACCCCCAACCGACCCAGAGTGTCTCGCCCTCGGAATCTACGTCAGCGTCAGCGAACGAGCCAGTTGCTGCACAACCGCGGCCGACCACTTCGGTGTCTCCAGTATCCACCGGAGATGCTGCTGCTGGGGTGATCGGCCCTGCACCTTCAAGTGAATCCGGTGGTGGACTCACACTACCCACGAGCGGCAATGCAAATATTGGAAGCATTGCTGGTGGAGTCGCAGGCGGTGTTGCTGGACTTGTCCTCATTTGTGGACTACTGTTCTTCTGCTTGCGGAAACGAAAATCGAGGCAGCCACGATGGGCGGAGAAGAACCTCGAAGGCCCACGGTTTATGGACAAGATGAAGGCCAAGGCAGCAGGAGTTGGTGTCATGTTTGCGAAGGTGAAAGGATCGAAAAAAGGACCTGCCAAGAACCCATACCAACGACACAGCCAGCAAGACAGCATCAGTTCTGTCTACTCAACAGCCGATTCTCAGGGATTCTATGCGCCAAGAGACGTGAAACGCTCTTCAAGTAGGAAGAGCGAAAGAAATCGACTACGCAAAAAGAACAGCAGCGTTTCTTCGCAGTCGACGTTCGCCGGGATCCTAGAAGAACATGAAAGGAGCGCCAATAACCCATTCGCAGACCCCGAGCCGCCTAGGCTACTAAGGTTGTCGAATCCGGATGCGGCATCGCCTCGAGGACCACTCACACCCCAGCCAGCACTGACTTCGGTTCAGCCAGCACAAAATCCGTTTGCCTCAGCGTTCGACGAACCCAATTTATTACTGTCGGCGCCCGGGCACCAGCGTACACAGAGTCAAGCGTCTGCACTGACTGCACATCCGCCATCCTTCGTATTCCCTACAAATCCCACGCGCCGGAAATCTGTCCCCAAACCCATGCTCGATCCGCCGCCACCGAGCCAAGCTTCTGGTCGAAATCAAGCTCGCCGCTCCTCCATGGCACTTCCCACCTTCGACGCCACCTCCACAGCAGCGTCCGGTGAGAGCGACTATTTTGGTGAGCCAGGCCCAAGCCGACCAGGAACTGGCATGTTTACACCAGGACTGCCCACCGGCCGAACTGTGCGTCAGTCCGATCCTTTCGATCTCGACCGTCCTGAAGTCCTCCGCTTTGGTAACGTTCTTGGTCGCAATGAGGTCCGCGCTAGCGTCACGAGGCAAAACACGCGCAGCAAACGAACAAGCAGCGCAGGCGCAGGCAACTGGTCGAGCGTAAAGGACGCGGCCGCCGGCCCCTTTTCGTGGAATGTCATTCCCCGGAGGTGACCTTGATGGTCCACACAGACAGAGACGAGCAAGTCGCGCAAGCTGCCAGCGCACAAGGCGCGACACAAAAGGATGATATACGTAATGACGGATGATGAATTATTTTCCCCAACCCCCACATTATTTGACGATGGCAGGAAGTATTCCGAGGGTCCCATCGCTGGCGCATTACATTCATCTGGGTGGGAATCACAAATCTTGTACTGATAGCATAGCCTTTTCCTTATTTGACCCGCAGTTTACCTTAGTTAGCATTAGCTTAGAATACCCCCTTTCGTCCTGACGACATTCTCCTGACGACATTCGCTCGAATCAAATATACAACTACCTCTCAAGATAAAGCCCTGTCCCAATTTCTGTGAACCTGAGTCAGTATGCGACTGCCAAGGCAGGCCTGAAGAAGTGGGTGAAACGCTGCTGCCTGAGGATTTGTCAAACTGGCACCACGGCGGAGAGGCTAGCGGCGAAGGAACGCCACAACACCTAACATGGTACCTAGCATGGATAGCATCATGAAGCGCTGGTGTGCATTGTAGGCTGCGGCACGGGACGCACGGGATGTACATCATCCGCTTCCGCTTTGCGCATTAGGGACTTGAGAGCTCATGGAAGGATGGATGCCCTGCTGGGTCGAGAGAAGGTCAGTCAGAGGCACAAAGATCACGAAGAGTGAATTCGCACATTTTGACCATTGTGTCATTCTTTCAGCTAGATACATATCAAGCTATACATGACAGAGCCACCAACGCCGTGGTATATCTCTTTCCTGTCATGCAAGATGTAAAGAAAACCCAAGTATTTGTTTCCGAGCCTACTTGCTCTTCACCCACAGCTTACATACCATTAGAAGGCATCTCCATGTCTGATCGAGTGCCGTGGATTGAGAAGACAGCTCAAATGTCCAGAGGAAAGGCGTTCAAATAGCAGCCCCATAACAAAGCGAATCCCAAAGACAAATCCGCGCAAAATGTAACCCAGGTAGATGACAGTTCAGATAGGGTGCTTGATCACTCCCCCTCGTCTTCGTCTTCATCTTCATCGCTCTCGACCTTCTTCTTCTTGGCTTTGCTCTTGCCGGGCTTTGCTTTCTTGCTCTCTGTCGTCGTCGTGGCCTTCTTGGCCCTTGGCTTGGTAGTTTTGGCATCCTTTATCTTCTTGCGCTCGACCTGGTCATTGACCTTGTCGCGCTCAGCTTGACCCTGAACGTGAAGCTTAGTTTCCAGCTCCTTGAACTCATCTGACTCGATATCCATGCCAACGAGGCTCTCGAGCATCTTGATCTCTCGTGCCCAGATACCCTTGTCGTCGGTCTTCTTGCCATTCTCATCGACACTGTCTACGGGTGTCTCAAGCACCATGGGAAGCCCGTGAAGGCGCTTGTCGTTCACAATGTTGTGAAATGAGCTTAGGCCGAGGAAACCTGTACCGATGTTTGCATGTAGATCGCGGTAGCTGGACAGCGGGGCCTTGCTGTCGTTCATGTGGAGGGCTTTGAGGTACTTCAGGCCAATGACATCGTCGAACTCCTTCATCGTGGCAGCGTACGCCTCAGGAGTTCGGAGGTCATAACCCGCAGCGAAGACGTGGCAAGTGTCGAGGCACACGCCAACGCGGGCCTTGTCATCAACCAACTTGATAATATCAGCAAGATCAGCGAATGTGCCGCCAATGGTGTTGCCTAGCGACGCCATCGTCTCGAGGACGGCAACAACGTCACCGCTGGCTTTGTCCTGGTGCGCCTCGTTGATATTCTGTGCAATGAGGCGAATGCCCTCCTCGCGCGTCGTCGCATTCGCGTTGCCGGGGTGGAAGTTATAGAGCTTGATACCCAGCGTATTGCAGCGCTCAAGGTCGTTTAGAAAGGAGTCAAAAGCTTGCTTCTTCCGCGCTGGATCCGGATGGGCAAGGTTGACTAGGTAGGAGCCATGCGGCAGACAGCATTTTGCAGCGTCGATTCCGTGCTCTTTGCAGCCTGCAATGAAGAGATTCGCAACCTCTGGCGTGAGAGCTACGCTCTCCCATTTACGTTGGCTCTTGAGGAAGATTGCGAAAGAGTTGCCGCTGAACACGTTAGTTATTGCAATGCGCTATTGTAGAGCTCAACATACCCGATGTGTACAATATTTGGGATAGAATGCTGCACGCCTAATCGACCATTATCCGGGCCGCGTTAGTCTATGGTCTTCTTCAATGATAGTTTGGCGAAGGGAGTGAAACTAACCTCCTGCAGTGCTGACATGAGCGCCAACGATCAGGGGACTGTTCTTCGTCCGCAATTCAAGGGGAGACTTGTCATCCTGCTTTTTCGTGCGGGCTGCTTTCTTCTTCGCGGGCTTGGTCTCGCCGTCACCATTTTCTTCAACCACATCATCAACCGCGTGGTTAGCCTTCACCTTCATGACCGCACGTTGCTTCTTTGGTGGGGCAGCAACTGCATCAGCGACATCTTGTTCAGTCTGAGTCTTGGTGCGCTTCAGAACTTTGGTCTCGGTCGTTGCTTTGCGCTTCCTGCTGGTCGCAGTGGGCTTGACCTCGACGCTGCTTTCGACCTGATCGATCAGGCTTTCGGTAACAGTCGACAGCGATGACTCGGATGGTGGAGCAGGGAGCTTCTTGGCCATTTCGGAGTAGTTTGGGAATATAATATGTACGAGTGAAGAGTTATTGGGTGTGCGCGTGGTGTAGGAGCGATCGGAGCAGCGAGGGGTCGAAGGTATTATATAGGAGGTAGGAGCAGCACCTGGCCGATGGAGCAATCGGGGGCGGTGAAGGTGAGAGTGGGCTTCCAAGTACTTGTGAGAGAAATTGCCTCGGACCCTTTGAGCTTTCGCAACCTGGGTGAAGAGCGATAAGGAGAATGAGGTTTGAAAGTAAAGCCGGCTGGGATTTGCGGCGATAGACGGTAAGGGGGAAGTTTGAAAGCGCGGTGAGCTGAAGATTGCTTGCAGAGGAGCGATAGGAGAGCGGAACCTTGTACCGCAGATGAAGGTACAATCGCCGTTGCGCGAGAAGGTGGAGTGCAAACGCGGTTTCGATGACGGCGACGAGAACTTTAGGATGGAGCAGATGTGGAAGGAGCGGGCAAAGGAGCGACTAGAATATGAAGAAAACGAATTAGCTGCAGAGAACTGAGGAACAAATGTCATGCAGCCCAAACCCTCACAAGCCCCAATTGAGTTCGACGTGCCCTCGATGCTGGAACAGACGTGACGCGTTGAGTTCAACGCCAAAGCACGTGCACCAGTCCCGCCAAAACGTTAATCGATAAGCTCGCAACGCCAAAAATTCGGCCCACATCCCGCACGCATCCCCAACACCACCACAACATACAGACGCCCGCCCGCCCACTATGCCCAAAGACAAGCGAAAACGCCCCTCGGGCGCCGACTCCTCGCCCTATGCCAAACCCACCTCCGCCAAAGCCTCGGCCGCGCACTCCATCTTCAAAATGGACAAAGATCTCGGCCAGCACATTCTCAAGAACCCCGGTGTCGCTAGCGCTATTGTGCAGAAAGCCTTCCTTAAGCAGTCCGACCATGTCCTCGAAGTCGGTCCGGGAACGGGAAATCTGACGGTGCTTATACTGAAAGCTGCCAAAGCGGTGACGGCCGTGGAAATGGATCCGCGTATGGCTGCCGAATTGACGAAGCGTGTCCAAGGGACACCCGAGGCAAAGAGGCTCAAAGTTATGCTGGGCGATGTCATCAAGACAGAACTCCCGCATTTCGATGTGTGCATCAGCAACACGCCATACCAGATTTCGTCGCCGCTGGTTTTCAAGCTGCTTAGCTTGCCGAGTCCGCCGCGCAGTTGCATTCTCATGTTTCAGCGGGAGTTCGCGATGAGGTTGTTTGCCAAGCCCGGAGAAAAGCTGTACAGTCGGTTGAGTGTGAACGTCCAGATGTGGGCAAAAGTCAGCCATATAATGAAGGTTGGGCGGAATAACTTCAATCCGCCGCCGCTGGTGGAGTCGAACGTTGTGCGCATCGAGCCGAAGTTTCCACGGCCGCAGATTGCGTATGAGGAGTGGGATGGCTTGCTCAGGATTGCGTTCGTGCGCAAGAACAGGACGCTGAGAGCAAGTTTCTTGGGCACGGCCGCTGTCGTGGAGTTGTTGGCGAGCAACTACCGCCTCTTTTGCGCGCAGAACAACATTGAACTCGACGACTCGCCAGTTGGTCCCGAAGACGAGGTGGAAGCCATGGAAGTCGACGCCGCTGAAGAAGAGTTCAATGGTTTCTCCGACCCCGACGATCCGGATGACGAGCTGCCCGACTTTTTCAAGCAGATGCAGGCGGAGGGCAAAAAGAAGAATGGTTTGAACAGAAAGAAGAAGGGAAGAGTCAGTGAGTTGGTGCGAGAAAAGGTCAGAAAGGTTCTAGAGGACGATACGGAGCTGGCAGACAAGCGAGCGAGAATGTGTGATGAGGGTGATTTCTTGAAGCTGTTGTATGCGTTCAATCAGGAGGGCATACACTTCAGCTAGAGCGGAAAGGGTTTGTGCATTTCACGGCGTTACGACCAGCATAATGGCGTTGGGGTATACCAAAAAGCATGGCATCGATTGAATCTTCAGCTGCCACGACGCGAGTCTATCTCCGCATCAAAATCTATATGTCCGCCTCGAACGGCCTCACGACTAGCCCCTTCTCTTGCAGGTGATCTTTGACCTGCTTTACAGTGTATTCGCCTCTGTGGAACATACCCGCGCCTAACGCAGCGTCTGTCCGCGTTCGCGCAAACACCTCTTCAAAATGTCCTGGATTGCCGGCACCGCTACTAGCAATTACGGGTATCTTGATCGCATCCTTGACATCGTTGATGAGTTCAAGGTCAAACCCGCTGTTACTTCCGTCCTGGTCTATGCAATTCAGAAGGATCTCGCCTGCGCCCATGGCTTCGACTGCAGTGACTAATTGCCGCACGTCAAAGTCTCGACCTTCGCGACCACCTTTGATGGTGCATTGGTACCAGCAGTACTCTTCGCCGTTAGGCCCAGGCCGACTTGTCTTGATGGCGTGGTGCGGTGTCGATTCCGGTGACTGCACGTAGACACGTTTTGGGTCGACACTGACGACAACAGCCTGGTTGCCGTACGCTGAGGAGATAGTCTCAATCGCAGTGTTACCCGCCAACTTGCTTCCTCGCGCATAGTACTCCTCTGCTGCTATGACGGCATTCGAGCCTATGCTGACCTTGTCCGCGCCAGACTTGAAATACATAGTCGCAATATCGAGGGCTGAGATTTTAGTGCCATCTACATCCACTGTGTCCTGTATGCCACCGCCAATCGTGAGTGGTACAAAGACCGTTTCGCTCGTCTGACGTAGAATCTCTAGCATCGGTATGTCCGCTACAGGGCAGTTGCGGAAAGATGTGATGTTGAGGAAGGTGACCTCGTCGGCGCCTTGTTCGTAGTACTTCTTTGCCATCTCCACCGGTTTACCCAGGTTGCGTACCGCATTTCCGGCGCCCTTTTTTTCCCGGACATCGTACATGTCGCCTTTTGTCACCACCAGATCGCCCTGATCATTTGTTCGCACATCAAGACACGCGATGACACGCCTCGTAAGGCCCTCTTTCGTGTCTCCCGCGGAAAGCTGTTTCGGCAACTTCTGAGACCTGGTCCCCTCGAGGAAGGCCTTTAGCACGCGCAGGCCCGGTGCACCACTCTTCTCGGGATGGAATTGTGTCGCGAACACATTGTCCCTGGCTACCGCACCAATGAATTCTTCGTCCCCGTACCGTGCGGTTGCGACTGTCCAGCCCAACTTCTCCAACCTGCCCTCCTCATATGGTGCGGCGTACGAGTGGACATAGTAATATTTCGAGGTCGGTCGTAGTCCGTAGAACGAGTCGTCGGTGGCTTGGCCGGTCCTTGATGTGTTTGCGCTGTTCCAACCAATGTGCGGCACGCTCTTGTCCTTGTCGTCGAACTTTTTCAATTGCGAAGGTATTATCCCCAGGCCCTTTACATTCGGGTCCTCTTCCGACCCCTCGAATAGAGCTTGTATACCGACGCAAATTCCCATGAACGACTTGCCGGCCTTGATGTGTTGGCGGATCGGTTCGACGTAGCCCGCCTTTTCCAATTGTGACAGGCAATGTCCAAAGTGACCGACGCCGGGAATGATGAGTTTCTAGAGGGGCATCTGCATCAGCGCATGTCAACTCGTGCCTACGATCAAACTTCGGACGAGCCATACCTCTGCGGAAGGGAGATCGGCCGGCGACTTCACCCACTCGACAGTGTAGCCGACCTTCTCGATGGCATTGACGAGCGAGCGGACATTGCCCGCGACGTAATCTAGGAGGTGAACGGTCGGCATGTTGGTGGCTCCAAGTGAGTATGAGGAGTGTCTAAGGAACAAGGACCGTCTGGAGTCACTTGCTGGAAATTATAGTCCCAATGTCTGGACTCAATGACTGTAATCAATGACTGCAAATTAATGTGGACCCCTCCGTCGTTGGTCGGGACGTGGGGCAGTGACGATGGCGCCAGGACGCGACTAGCGTGCCGGGCAAAATGTTCGGAGCTTCGACTTTTTGAACATTCACCTTGGGCACGCCAACCCTCGCCACATCTCCGCCACCGACACGTACCACGGCCCTGGATCCATCCATCACACTACGCTGTAGACCGCAAGGCCTATCCCAATTCGACCGCCAACATGGTGCGAAAGCTCAAGCATCATGAGCAGAAGCTGCTCAAGAAGGTAAGAGCCCATAGCGCGCCTTCCCTGGCATCTCACCAACAGCACAGGTCGACTTCAATACATACAAGTCCGACAATGATCACCGGGAAGCGGCAGTAATGCGCCGGTATGCCATTCAAGGCCGCGACGACTACCGCAAGTACAACCAGCTATGTGGCTCCATGCGCCAACTCGCCCACCGCCTTGCCAACCTCGACCCGTCCGACCCTTTTCGACGAAAGCACGAGGATCTGATGTTAGAGAAGCTGTTTGATTTGGGTGTTCTAGGCACCGGTGGTGGAGGCCGCGGCAAGCTGAGCGACGTCGAGCACAAAGTCACAGTGTCTGCCTTTGCGCGGAGAAGGTTACCAGTCATCATGACGCGCTTACGCATGTCGGACCACATCCAGGCTGCGATAAAGCTCATTGAGCAAGGCCATGTTCGCGTGGGCACACATGTCATCACAGATCCGGCATATCTCGTTACTCGGTGAGCAGCATAACCATGCTTGGCGCAAACTGTCGCTAACAATGACCAGAAACATGGAGGACTTTGTTACTTGGGTCGACTCCTCCAAGATCAAGCGCAACATCATGAAGTACCGCGACAAGCTGGACGATTTCGAGCTCGAGGCGCTATGAGGCATTGAGTCTGTCGAAACAGACCGGCGTTCAAAGATACCAAAGCATTTGCAGGCGTTTTCAATACTACACTTCACGATTCTTCATATCTTCATCCCAAATGTCTCTCTCGCGCTGGCCCAAATTGGCCCAAACTGGCCTCTTCACCGTGTTCTCCTCTGGAGCGCGCGTCTCGAAGCATCCGTACCGTTTCCCATCACACGTCCCGCCGACCGGCCTCGGCTCGACGTGTCTTCTTCTGACCACGCCTATGTGCTCTCTCCTCTGTTCCCACACAAGGATTTCTGCAAGACTCTCGCGTTCTGCTTATCACAATACCCACAACCTATGCCCTTCAGTATCCCTGCTTTGGTCGGTCTTCGCGCACTTCGCGTACGCCCTTGACTTGCATACTGCCAAAGTTTACATCGATCGAGTTCGAAGTGTCCCATGACCTTTTCGACTTTCGCGAAAGCGGTAGGCTCGGGCGCTGTGGTATGGGCGCACTTGTGAAGGGGGGTGGGATTTTCTCTACATCGTTAAGAAACGAATCGAAATCGAAATTCTCGAGTGATGGATCGTCGAACGGGTGTATGAAAGGTTGCTCGCAATCTAGCTTGGGTGCTGGTGGTATGGATGAGAAGGCATGCTTGAACGCTACCGGATCGATTGGACTTTCGTCTTCGTCCACGATAGATACGAGATCCTGAACGACGACACTTCTGGCCTCCTTATCTGACGTATCGACCAGCGTTGCTTCTTCAACACCTTCCGTCTTGTATGTCGTCCGCACCTCCAACCCCTTAGCATAATGGGCAATGCTTGCGGGCAGTGCCTTTGTAGCTTCACTGCCCCACGTCTTCTCGCAGACCTCAAGCATTCCTACCGATTCGACACCACCTTTTTCGCATTCTGAAGTTGCATCGGAGCCAGGCTGAAGCCATTTGGGAGCGCCGGGCAGACGAGTACTAGCTCGTTTCTGGCGCAGATAGAGGATGACGCTTGTTGCAAGGAAGCAGAGACTCAGAACAGCGGCGATGGACCCCATGACTATTCTCGTGATCATTTCAGAGGCGAGCATTGTGTCGTTCTGGGAGTTGTTGACAGCTAAGAGGCGTTCAGGGTGGCAGAGTGTTGATGAGGAGTTCGTAGTCGAAGAGCTGCCTTGTGAGCATTCGCATAAACGTCCAACAGCGAAGTGCAGTAGGTTGACTTGCGGTAATAGGCGTGAGGGTCGCTTGTGTATACACTTGGGAACTTCGCGGGGCTATGCATGCGGCATCGTTGGGGCAGTGCACGAGTGGCAGGGGTGTGCGGCCCCCAAAAGTTAAATTTACATTAGTCTATCCAAGGTTTTGCTGGATGCCTTAACAGTGCGCATGTTCCGACGCAATTGTGTACTCAAAGCAGCGCGATGTTTGCGAATGCTGGGAGGAAATACACCAAGCAATCTAATGATGATCATCGTGACAAGTGCAGGCTTCTTAATATCATGACCAAGTCGATTCGCATCGATTGGTCACTCGAACGGATCTCGACAAGTATTTCATGGATGAAACGCACCTCATTACACCTTCTTTCTCCTAGCGATACCAGACATCCCTCCCTAATCAGTATCTCACACCATCCCTCTCGCGCCCTTCCCTAACATCCGCAATGCCCTTGACCTGCATGCTTCCAAAGTTCACAGGCTCTGCAGACGAATCGTATGAACCACCGCTTTGTTGCTGAGACCCCCATGGTTGCTGAGGCGCTGGATATGGCTGAGACGCCCATTCTTCAAGTTCAGCCTGAGACTGGGCTAGTGTAGGCCGCGGCAGCGCAGCACCAACGGCGTGCGAATGTCGCAGACGACGACGATAGCAGATGCAACATAGTGGTAGAGATAGGAGGATGAGCCCGATTATCGAGCCGATGACTATGCCGGCAATCGCGCCTGGGGATAGCATTGTTGTGGTGGGTTGGTCGGATGCTTTTTGGGAAGAGTCGCCTTGTCGTCGTCAATGCTGTGCAGATCTTCCTATTTGGCCAAGTAGTTTTAGAAATACGCGATTCTACCGTCTTAGTATTTAGAGTGAAGGTTTCTCAAGTGCTTAAGAATATTTTTGCGGATGTGTCGCTCAGCTGAAGACCAAGTGCGGCTGAATTTGGCAGAATACGATCATGGTAGCCAGGCTTAGCGAATCTGTATTGACGCCCTTGCCTTCCAATACATTCCCAGGCAGGCCTCGATCTTTTCAAGAACGAGCCATTGCGTACAACGGGTCGCTAGTTAACTACAATCTCTAGGGCCCGTAATCCCCTCGATCTTCGCTTACAACGATCATCACTACTTCAATCTGTATACTCAAACAGCTATGCTTCTCGAGAGTCTACCATGAACTTCATTCCTTTCCGATGTGATTCTTGATGCACATTTTCGTGGATTTGCAGGTTTGCAATTTCGAACGTAGCCTTGCTCAGTCCAACTCTCCATCTGTAACCTCACGCTCGACACGCGGCTTCGGGGAGGCCCACGGGAAGTAAATAAGGAAGAGGACGAACATGATGCAAGTGACTGCAGCGATGGAGAGGCCAGCAACGGCGCCTCCAGATAGCGACTTGATGTTAGTGGGTGTCGGACCGGTCGTGACGCTGGGAGAAGACTGCTCGTGTCTTGATAAATGTGGACAAAGATCGTGGTAAACTGACGGGCGAGGAGTTGAAGTGAGAGAGATGTCTAATAATTGTTGCGCCGCTTCAGCTCCAGCTGATGGCGCTTGTTCCCTCTTTGCCAGTGGGACTTGGCGTCAGCTCGCAATGCAGAAAAGTACGAGGACGCAGAGAAACGGCAGAAACTTGCCAGCTCAAAGAGCTAATGATATATTGCGGATTGAACGAAGATTGAAACTCTTGAATGCGCCTCTTGATGCAAGTCTTGATACTGAACCCGGACGCCGTCTTCTCTGCCACCCTGGTACGCCAGTGATGGCCCAGTGGACTATGTGTGTAGCCAATCCAACAATGCAAAAATCTACAGTAAATGTCAAACTCGGAATAATTGATGTAAAGTTTTCGTCACTTCGCGGTGTGCGGTGATGGCGATGGAGGTAATGATGAGCATAATACCCTCACATCTTCTTCCGCTTCGGCTTGTGAAACATGCTAGGCGCTTCCTTGCGTTTCTTTGGCACCTGTGCGATTGACGGTTCCTGGGTCGTCGGCTTGAGCTTCGGTGCGGAAAATTGCTGGCCTGCCGGTAATGATGTTCGTGGTGGTGCTCCGCTGTGCTGTGGCACGGGGCGGTGTGTGATGTGCGGCCGTTTTGTCTCCGGGAGCGCATCCTTTCTGCTGGCAACTGATGCGGCAGCTTGCCTTGAGATGACCATGCTGCGCGGGGCCACGGCGTTGTTCTCGGCCACGCGCACCATGCTCGCCGGCGCGCTCCTGATTTGTGACTTTCTCTGCGCCAGCAAGTGTGTAGGCATGTTTGCGCCTCTCGGGCGCTCTTTTTTGTAGTCGAACATGCCTCTCTTCAACGCGTCCAAGTTGACCTTGCCCGTCTTTGCAGGCGCACCTGAAGTGCCCCAACTACTACCACCAGCGCCAAGGCCGAATACCCTGTTGCTACGGGCGCCGTACCCGACCTTGCTATCCACGATCAGCGTCTTGTTCTGCGCCCGATCCTTTTGCAGCGCGCGCATCTGTTCCTTCAAGGCATATTCCTGTTCCTGCTTCTCCCTCTCGGCATCTTTCTTGAGCTTGCGGTACACTTTGTGCCAGTTCCGAGGATCCCGAGGCTGGTGAGGCTTCTTCTCCCAGTCCGGTATATCCCGCCTGATGAACTTCTTCCATATTTCTCCGGTCTCGCCCTGTATCTGTGGACAGTTCTCTTCCAGCTCTTGTAGTTGGTCGGGGTTCTGGATGTTGCGGAGGACGGGCTCGAGGAAGCTGAAGGGGATGTCGCCTATGTCGTTGAGGAGGTCGATGTTCTTGATAAGGCGCTGCCTGGCCAACTCGAAGAGGCTCGGGACCGGCATGATGGCGGCCAGAGTGTGGCCAAGTCGAAGGGATGGGAAGTGGTGGAAGTGGTAGAAGCTGGCGAAGAGTGGTGGTGGGAGGTGAGTCTATCAAAGGCTATGATGCACCAACAAGGACAACGTAGGCGGCAGCGACGGCCGGGGACAATCCCCGTGCAAGGGCAAGCATTGAAGGGGGTCAGATGGTTCAGTGAAAGAAGGGTGGTTGTCTGACGTCTGCTGATGATGCACGCGGTGCTGCGGGCGCTACTGATCCCTGCAGCTGTTTAGTATGTCCGACTTGACCACCTTCACCACCACCACGGACAAGCTCACCAAAGCGAACACATCCCTACACACCTTTGCATTTTCTGTTCGCCGTCGCGCCGTCGCCAGAGAATGGCCAACAAGCAATGGGGGCTTCTGTCGCAAGCAGACGAAGGTAAGACGTGCGCGCCACATGCCCACGCCCCCACTGACCTGGCCAGATGCGCTCCACAACGTATCGCGATTGCTTGCTGTTGAAGCACGACCATATGCACACGTGACAAGCCGCGTCCTGAAGCCCGCCTTCTTTGAGGCTGCGCGACCGCGCCAGTTGCCGTCTCCTCCTCCAGATGCCAGCGCGGCCGAGGAAGAAGCCGCTGCCGTCGCTGTCGAGCGCGAGCAGCAAATACACAACATCGAGCTGTGGCGGCGGAACCTCATGAACGAGCTCTCCTCACTAGACTTTGCCATCCTGCGCGCCGAGTTCACCACCAACAGCAACCGCACGGAGCGCGAGCGATATGCCGTGGAGAAGGACGGTATCACGGCGAAGCAGCAGCACGTCAAAGACACCATCGAAGAACTGCGCGTGCAACTGGTCGAGGCCAAGGAGACGCTAGCAGTCCGCAAGACCTACGACGAACTCACCGAGAAGATCACAAGCAGTAAGATGCTCAAGCCCCGCGACGAGCAGGCACTTGCACACGCAAAGCTCGACGAAGAAATCGCCGAGCTGGAGCACGAAGTTCAAACCGCAAAAGACACATGGAGCGAGCGCCGCGCCCAATTTGGACGCATAGAGGATGCGACGCGCGAAATGCTGCGCATGATCAAGGACGAGAAGGAGGAGGCTGAGCGCAAAGAGGGCATGATGAAGGATGGCGACGAAGAGGGCGACGGCGAGGGCACCACCTCCCGCGGAGACGGAAGCCGTGTTGGCACGCCTAAGCCCGAGGGTGGCATGACACCGGTGCACGCCAGTCAGGGTGGGGAGGCGAACTCGTCATTACGAGTTCCGCCCAAAGACCGGCTACATCCTCTTTCACGCGAGAATAGTGCTGCGCCATCGCCTGCGCCATCCGGTGCTGTCGAGGACATGGACATGGCAGACTCGGGTGCTGTTTCTGGAGAGAAAGACGACGAGTCGGATGGCTTAGAGGAAGGCGAGGATCTCGAAGATGGCGAAGACGACGGTGAAGCAACATCTCCTGGCAAAATGGACGAGTCGTGATTCAACCAGCATACTTGATTTCATATTTGCATAGCGCGGTGTTCAGGTTATATCAGTTTACCTCGCCTTATTGTACATGCTCTCCTCTTGTAGTCAAAACACCTACGAGGCCTGACCAAGAGCTTCTTTGCCCTTGGCAACTGCCTCCTCTGCCTTGCTGATGTCTTCTGCCGACGCTTCTGCGCCGCCGTCTCTGTTTGCTTCCTACCCATCATTAGCACATTAGAACCCTGCAACTTGCCTTCACACATACCAACGCCTCCTCCAACTTTTCCAGCGCAGCGCTAATCTTGGTCTTCATGCTTGGCAGCACGTTCCTCGTCTCGGCGAGTGCTTGCTTCTGTGTAACGGTTTAGCTACCACTTGCTGAAACATGAATCGATGAGAAGTTGTACCTCCTGACGCAATGTATACTCCTTGTTCTCGTCTCCAGCGCTGGCCTCGAGCTTCGTAATGCGCTCTTCCTGCTGCGCTATCTCCTTGTGGTAGCTAGCTTCTTCCTTGACTAGGCGCAGAACTGAGCCTGTCGCAATGGCGATCTTGGAAGGAGGAGCCATTATCGTGATTTGAAGATGTGGAAGTCTGTGTATGATTTTAGACTATTGGATTGTGAGTTGACGTCGCACACGTAGAGATTGTATGTATCCTGGTGTGTTATCGATATGGTCTGTGCGCAGCTAAAATCCACTCATTCCCTACTCATTCCTTCTATAATTGTAGATCGTCTGCTATCTAGCATTTTCCATCACATCCCTCATAAAATGCGATGCCACCCGTCGCATCGCGGCGTGGATGGTGGATCGCGTCCAAAGCATGCTACACATGTCGTCTGCGCAAGATTCAATGCATCTTCGAGGGCGAAAGCGCGTCATGTCGGCGATGTCGCTTTGACAGAAAACAGTGCACCTGAGCGAGCGAGCACAAGCAGAGAGGCCCTGTGCCGCGGTCAAATGTAGCAGAGGCGCGCGCCATCCCTCTCGTTCCTATTACCTTGTCCATCGAGCACTTGCGCGAAGCAGACGTCTTTCGCGCCATCATCGACGACTATCTTGACCTGGTTTATCCTCTTATCCCTCTGCTCCATCACCCGAGTTCTCGCGTGCTTGTGGATTCTAACGCTCGCAGCAGCGACCCTGCTTTCATTCGCCTGTGCCTGGCCGTCTGCGCTGTCACCGTAGCTTCAATCCCTCGAAAGTTCGAAGAATATGGTCTCGACAAGTACCAAGACGTAGGAGCTGTGGTCGAGAGGGCCTGCCATATGTTCCTACCAAGCCGTGTCTCTTCGGAGCCTGAGTCGCAAAATCGGCCAGCCATGAGCACAATAATCGTGTCCATTTTACTCACCATGGCTAGTCGCTACACTGGCAAAGCAAATCAAGGCTGGAGTTATGAAAGTGAGGCTATACAGTACTTCCGTTCCCTAGAGCTATTTCGAGAAGAGGCCTGTGTCGAATTGACACTTCTTGACGGCGAACTATGTAGGAGGGCATTCTGGGTGCTGTATATTATCCAGATTCACGATCAGCTCTCTTTCATCGTTCCTCACACAGGGTTGAGTTTTGACCTTCTCCACACCTACTGGGAGTTTTTGCTTCCACGGCAAGTCGAATATGAAGAATTGACAGCTCAGACAAGCAGCACGATATCTATCCTGAGAATGCTGCAGATAGCACCTACACCCCGGCAGACTCGACACAGTCCAAGTTGACCATCAGCTTGAGCGCCAAACTTCGCATCATCAGAAAGTTGCAAACCACCGTCGAGAAGTTGCCGAAGGAACTAAAATATCTACCCTGGATCCTCAGCTCTTACACTCGCAACGCTACTCTTCCGAATCTGTCGTATGCGCGCATCATTTCGATACCATGAGCGCGAATATCCACATAACGATTCTATATATCCAGAGCACAATCTTAAAGGCTTGCTCTGATGCGTTCACCAATCCTCAAGCTATTGCTCACGGGGCTTCTCCTGACGACGCTTCCAGATCCAACCAAGACACCACTCCTAGAACACAGCTATGGATATTGAATAAGAGCATAGCGAACGAGCTGCTCGAGTTCCTTCAATTCTGTTCTTCGAAAACCTTGGAAGCAAATGGGTCATCCATGGTCAGTGTGCCTTCCTCCATTCCAGAGCTCATGCCTAATTTACTTTGGATCGTGAAAATCTGAAGAGAAGTCGCGTCAATACATCGCACAGTTTGCTGACATCGTCGCCAACCTGGACTACGAGGGTCAAGCAACCATCATCCCGTATATATTTTTAACGCATTCATTTGGGCTTGGCTGTAGCCTCACGTGTTTCAGGACTATCAGGCAGATCTTGTGCACTCGGTTTGCAATATTGCCGTGTGCGATGAGCCAGTAATGAGACCTGTAAGTTGTTGTCAGCAGATATCTTCGCAAAGAAAGATACAGGTACCTACTCGGGTAAGAAAGGAAGGATGAGCAAGCCGACTGCTATACAACCCCATTGGGCGGCGAACAAGACTCTGTACTGCCTTGAGTTGTTGTAGAAATTCTTTTGTCGTTGGACATTAAAGCTAATCAACTGACTTAACACGATCGCGAATTTCATGCCTGCAGTGACAGCGCCGCGAACTGATTTCGGGGCCATCTTGACCGGGAGTACTTCATGGAACCTGACATTGCAGCTTTAACTACCTCTTTCCGCACTGAGGAATTTCCTCGTGTAAGTTTTAACACACTTATTAACACAAACGTCGTGGGATGTAAGTCTGTAAGATTCTCGACAACGTACAAACCACTTGTGCCTGGCAATCACTACCTTAGTTTATCTGATATTGTGCCGTCTAAATTATGTATCGATGGAGTTTTAATGGTGGAACAGACAGGCGCGACCAATGATTCTGTGGGGGTTTTGCTTGGTGTGCAACATGAGGAGCGCGTCCTATTCAAGTTCAAGTCTTCGAAACCCTACGACCTTGTTATGGAAACACATCCATCCCCAGTCAACAACGCTGAACTGTACGTATATAACTACATATAACGCTACGATGCTAAGAATTGTCTACTGTGTTGCGATAAAGAACTGACATGACATAAACATGTCTTGCTGGCTCCAACAGATATCTCATGGAAGGACAAACCTCCATCCACCTTGGGTTCTTTCACAAGAAGAGATGAAGCAAAACGTTCTTGCAAAAGGCACAAATCTCGCCCAAGAAGCCGATGTTGCTGTGGTATTCGTTGGAAATACGAAGCAGTGGGAGACAGAAGGACAAGACCTCTCCTTCCTGACGCTTCCAGCCAACGGCCCTCATGACAGACTGATCACTAGCGTTGTGGCCGTCAATCCAATACCATCGTGGTCAACATCACAGGCGTCCCAGTCGAGCTACCATGGCTAGACGACATCCTAGCATTTTTTCGAGCATGGTACGCGGGCCAAGAAACCGTGAATGCCATATTGGACGTCTTGATTGGCGATGTGTCGCTCAGTGGCAAATTGCCAGTCAGCTGGTCCAAGAAGTACGAGCATACTGGATGCTATGGCAACTTTGGCCTGGACAGCTTCGAATAGCGAAAGGTAAAGTATGTGGAGGGCGTGTTCGTAGGGTACAGGTGATTCGACCGCTTGTGGGGTGCAAGTGAGGAGGTCCGGATTACTTTTGGTTTCGGATTGAGTTATACGAGCTTCGCTGTCAGTGATGCTCGCATGTCTGGCGGTAGCTCGAACGACCTGACTGTAGAAGTGACTGCTTCCGCGACAGTCAGAAACACTGGTTCAGGAGCGGGTTCGGGGGCGGTTCAGATTTATCCTCGAGCCGCCAATTGTGGAGGGGCTGGACCGCCCCGTCAAAGGACTGGCAGGCTTTTCTAAGGTAGAGCTTGGTGTAGGTGAAGAGAAGGATATCGAGGTCATCTTCAACAGGGATAGAGCTGCTTACTGGGATGTGGTCGAGAGTCATTGGAAAGTCCCTCAGGGAGTTCACCGCATGGTTGTTGCTACGAGTTCGGCGCCAGCCGATGTCAAAGTACGCCTAGGACTGCCTGTAGAGAGAAGTTTTCATGCTCTACTTAAAAGCCGATTTCAAGTCTTGGGTGGTCGCGCACACATTCATACGAAGCATATTTCTAGGAGAAGCTCAACATATAGTGACCCTTGCACAATTTCGACCCTTCGCATGCAATACTCATTACATGCCACAACCTACGTCGACGAAGCTGAAAACATGCTGTCAAATGCCAGGAAGCAATTGAAAAATCTGGTTGCATACCCATGTGTAGTCGCCTTAACTTGTTCATCTTTACTGTAACATGACCTGAAAGCACACATTCCTACTCTTGCTATCCTGCAAAGTCGAGTACCCACCGTTGTCAGAGCGATTATAGTGCAGTCAAGCTGTAGTTGGGAGTTCACCAAATCGGTACTGTGCCCAGCTTAAACTCAGCTCAGGCATCGTCCACAGCTGTTGACCAGCGCTCTCACTCGCCGCACCAGCAGCGACGTACATAGGCAGGATATGTTCCAGCGTGGGATGTGCCTGTCTCCCATCATCGCGCTTCATAAGCTGCTGCATATTTTTATGGCGTTCTTCGGGTTTAGACATAGCGGCGTCCTTGAGTGCATCGTCAAAGGACAAGGAGTAGCTGCAAGAGATTAGTGCGAGTCCATCAGATGGCAATGGAGTTTAGGCTGGGAGAAAGAGCTTACGGCATGGTTTTCCCCAATCCTCGAGACGCTCGAAAGTCTTGAAGGTTGTGGACTGCCATTCCAGCACCGACGATTAGTATGCCTTCGTCGCGGAGACTTTGCAGCGCCCCGCCCATGCGATAGTGGCGGTCTACATCCTCATTGTTGAAGAGAGACACCTGGACAATTGGCACGTTCAAAGGGTTCTTCTTTGGATCAAAGGCTACCACAGAACGTTAGGATCGAACATTTCAACGCATACAATGGCAAGGCAATCATACCGACGACGAAGCCCGCCCACACGCCATGATCAAGCCCTCTCTTCACCTTCTGCACCTCGATTCCAACGCCTCCCAGCCTCTCGATGACCTTGTCCGCAAGCTCAGGACTGCTTTTATTTGGAAACTTGTACTCGTAGTAGTGAGGAGGGAATCCATAGAAATCATAAATGATATCTGTATCCTCAGCAGCGTTGATCTGGATTCGATTCGGGCTATCTTGCCAGTGTGCCGAGAAGACAACGATGGCTTTTGGCTTGACTTTGTTCGTGATCTCTCTTCCAACCTCGCCGAGTTTGGCGTAGGCGGGATGCTGTGTATTCTCCATGAAGTTGGGTCCACCGATGCTCAGGAAGTAGACTGGCATCCGCGAAGAAGAAGTGGCGATGGTATTGGACATGGTAGCGGCTTGGTAGAGGAGTGAAACGCAGAGGCTCACAAGCAGGATGAACAAGTATATAACTATGGTAATTGTTCTCTTGGGCGCCAAGAGCATTTTCTGTCGGGCAATGCTTTGGGCTCTTTGAGGCGGTAGAACAAAGATCTTGAACTAAGTAATAGACTGGAAATGACGGAAAGTACGGGTATCACCGAGACTATGATCGAGGAAGTAGTTGTTGCCAGCCTCGACGGTGTTAGATGAGCTTCCGAGAAGAGCGCAAGGGAATCATGGGTGGATTCATCTTCTGGCAGGTCCTCCAGAGACCGCAGCATGTATGAATCAGGCCACGCGCGAAGCACTCAAAGCTGCCTCATGCGTTCTGAACCATAGACAGAATACAGAATGTCACTTCAACCGCGCGCGGTGGCTGCGGGGCCTTCCCTCTTCTAGCTTGCCGGTTCACACCCGCGCGGCTTATGTAAGTATTGCTACGCCGCTGCACGTCATCCTCACATGTATCATGTTGCTTTTCACGGCTTGTATGTCTACTTCTGCTTTCGCATCCCGCGCGGCCTGCACTGTGTATCGTGTTGGCCATTGCCGCATCCTTATTCTTGGCTGTTGCTTACTCTTCTTATTGCTATTGCTTATAAATCTTTCTGAGGCCGCCCTCGCGATTCGTAGATCCAAAACAAGGAGTCCACCTCGCCAATAGACCTTCAGATGCTGTCAGCTTCAATGTCGGCTTTTGCATCATATCCCCGCTCTGCCCCCGAGCGTCTCCTCGCCTCGTCCGAACGTGGCACAAGCACAGGCACATTCACTGCAAGCAGATGCAAGCAGAAGCCATCCTATTCATTATTCCTTGCGTCGACTCGCATGTTCAAGGCACCATTTCCGATGGTGTGGTGACCTGATCCCGGGTTGGGAAGAACGGAAGAACGGAAGAACAGTAAACTCTCCTCGTATAAGGGAGCGCATTTCAATACTTCTGTGATAATGTTGCCTATCTCTTCCTACATTTCCAGACTTTCCTGCTTCGGAACTAAGCCCAAGCCCAAGCCCAAGCCCATCAAAAGCAGAATCTCAAAGCTCTCGACACAGACTTGCTTCACAATCACCAAAGACACGAACATGGCTACCGTCGTCCTCATCCTCGGATCTGGCCCCCGTGTTGGCGCCTCTGTTGCCCAAACCTTCAAAGAAAGTGGCTACAGCGTCGCTCTCGCATCCCGCAAAGGCAGCAACAGCGTGACTGACGATGGCTACTTCTCCATCAAAGCGGATCTCGCATCGCCAGCCAGCATTCTTGGTGTCTTCTCCACCATCAAGTCCAAGTTTGGCGCTGCTCCCAGCGTCGTCATTTACAATGCTGCAGCACTCACTCCTCCTTCGGACCCATCCTCTGTCTTATCTGTCTCGACCGAGGCCGTCACCAAGGACCTGAACATCAACGTTGTTAGCCCGTACGTTGCGGCGCAGCAGGCGATCGCTGCCTGGGAGACGCTTCCCCAAGACGCCAAGAAGACCTTCATCTACACCGGCAACGTCCTGAACGAGCTCATCGTCCCCATCCCCATGTTTCTTACTTTGGGTATTGGCAAGGCTGCGAGTGCATACTGGGTTGGTCTTGCTGACACACTGTACAAGGCTAGAGGCTATCGGTGAGCTCCTCATACAACATTGTGTGGTTGTATTTCCTGACATGTGTGCTACAGATTCTTTCACGCTGACGAACGTCACCCTGACGGTAAGAACAAGGGTATGGCGCTCGATGGCCCCGCCCATGGAGAGTACTATCACGAGTTGGCGCAGCATCCCGACGGCGTGCCATGGCAGGCTACCTTCGTTAAGGGTCAGGGATACAGATCCTTCAAATGAGCGAGTAGCGGCCCTCTTGACGGGTGAAATGCCTGCTCCACTCAAATGAGCGGATGATTATACGGATCCCGTACTTGAAGCGTTGTTGAGGGGGTGTAATCGTTAGCCTTGTTAGTCATTCACCATGCTTTCTGAAGTCAGTAGACTAATGGTTTTTATCATCAACATATCCACATACGAGTGATGCTCACGTTTAACAGCTGACTGAACCAGGCTACAGATTTTGTACATCCGCTTGTTGCTGAGAAGGGCGGTAAAGCATGGAAACTGAAAAGGTGACTTCATTGTCTACACTAGTAACACTAAATCGCCTTGATTCTTGAAACAAGTAGCCAAATCCCTCTTTCCAGCATCGCCCATGCCCCTCTTTGACCACACATCCTCCATAATCTCCAGCGCCTTCCGGACTGTGCCGAACATGCTAGGAGGCTGCAGTACCTGTACCATTGTCCGCAACTGCGCTTCCTGCTCTGGCGCGGCCATACACCCTGCCACACAAAACGGCCACACCATGGAGCGCAGTAATGCCGGCGGTACGATCTGCTGCGTCAGTAGCTCAAATGTCTGGCTAACGTGATATCGCACATCTAAATTCGCAGGTTGCCATCCCGACACGACCACGGACAGGTATATGAGGGCTGCATGTGCCCACACACGAGTTACGAGCGTGATTTGGCTTGCGGACGTTTTAGTCTGCCGAGAATCTGAGTCGAACATGTCTAGTAAGCTTGCGCCCTCACTTGAAGCACCCAATAGTTCGCTTTCTAGTTGCAACACATGTCCCTCTACCAAGGCTTCTATATCTGTGGCACGTCGGACAAGCTCCATTAAATCAAGGCTTCCTGTATGTTGATACTGCTGTTTCCAGGCATCGAGAGTGGCTATCTCGCCGATATAAAGGAGCGCCCAATTCTGACACCCTACGGTTTCTTCGAGGTTGACGACTGCTCCGGAGCTGTTAGGCGTGCAAAGGAGGCTTCGATGATAGTTGTAGAGACGAGGCTGTTCTTGGAGAATCGTGGCCGCAATGATGTCGTCTAAAATAAGAAGAGCAGAGGAGAAGCGGAAGGCGGCTTGCTCTGCAATGGGGACCTGGAAAACACCGGTTGAGGCACTCCATGTTTTAGGTTTGAGCTGATTCAAGACCGCGTTGAAGCTTGAACTAGGACATGCAGTGTTCGTGTCGTCAGTGCTCTCGAGGAGCTGGCTGAAGAGTGAGAGTGCGACGTTCAAGTGTGCCTGACAGTTATCGAAGCTCAGCACGGCGACTTCAAACCTCTGTACTTGCACAATGCTCGCTAGGATGCGCACTGTACCGTGTATATGCTCTGTGACTCCGGCGTCGCTGATAACCTGGAGGGATAATCTCAGCACCTTGAATGCGTCTCTAGTCTGCTCCAAAACCATCTCCCAATTCGCCATCCCCTGTGCCATCGACATGAAACAAGAACTCTGGCATAGAAGTGCCTGCTTCACAACCGGGCTGCAGATCATCATCTCCAAGATCCATGTCCGACCGCCCTCAAGCAGTGACGGGCGGTAGAAGGGGAACAAGAACGGAAATAGATTATCAAGATAGAACATGACAAGCAGAGCATCAGATTGACCAATTGCCAGACGCTCCCTTGTCTCCTTGCCCATGAGCGTGCAACTTGGGCCGTTCTGTCGCAAGCTTACTAATAACTGAGGGCAGGTTGTAACGCAGTCAACGAGCACATCGTCGACTATTGTAGACGCCAGAGATGTCGGTGTCTTCGACGGCAACACAATGCAGTCTCCGTTCCTGGTCTTTGCAGGCGGCTGGCGCTCACCACTACTCAGAAGTGGTACGCTGCGGCGACGGTGAGCACTGTCTTTAACCTCTAGCTTAATTGTCTCTGCCATTTTTTCTTGTCTAGCGCCGCCGTCCATCCATTGCGGCTTTTCGGCATTGAAGTGGCAGGCGATCATGAGAGACGAGCATATGTCGCAAGCAGGCCGCTTCTCGTCGCATTTCTTGCGGCGCAGGCGGCATGTCCAGCAGCCATTGAAGCTTCGAATTGTATTGGATTCCATAGCCGTGTCTGTATTGTTCCCTTGGTTGCTTTCACGGGCTATAGTTCGTAGAAGGGGGGAGTGCAAGTCAAAGGGTCCAGAGCTCAAGCTACCTATGGTACCTACGTAGATGACTAGAGTGATCGTGTATGGCAAGCACCGCCCCAGAACTCCCAGAGGTTATGCGCAGCGTAGCACAAAGTGCGGGGCTGTTTCAGATAAGCTGGCCCGTACGAAATATGTCGGAGATCAAAGAAGAAGGGTGCGCCGGAAAAGGCTATAAGCACTAGTGGTCCGGAGGGCGAACGATTGGCTCGATCTGGGAGAGTCCATGACGCTTCCCTTGGGAGACACTCATTCGATCTCGACTTCTGGGCAATGTCTGCATTCAATTGATCTGGCTATAGACTTGGATGTATTAACGAGGCCAGAGCGGAAAGCCCCGAACAGACACTAAAGCTAATTCAGAAGGCACGATCAGGAGCCACCGATTCAGCGAGTACATGAGAAGATACCGATGCCCACATGTTGAAGATTTGGACCCACATGCACACAGTTGCTATCATTGAACGTCTTACTAAATGCCCGAGTGTGCTAGTGCAAGCTAGCGCTTGAAACCATCGCCGCTGAGCGCTATTTCGCCCGCCAGAGAGCCAAGTGCAAGTGGCTTCATGGTGTCCGGCACGTTTGTTGAGATAGGAAAATTCCCTCAATATGACCCCTTGCCTAAGATTAACGTCGCATGTACGCGTGTCCTCGCTTTGGTCCAGAAGGAGGTAGATGGTCATCTCACGACACTCAAACGTGGACGGTCTAGACTACCTGACTATGGCAGAGTATGCTCATCATCTTGCAGAGCACATGCGAGTCAGACTACGAGCCCTATAAGGTGGATTCGGTATAGCGCATGACATTCTGCTGCGTGTCGCATGTTGGTGCCTGCTTTATGCAATAACGTGGTCACAGAAAGTGCGGCGAACGTTCCTCCACAGACCTAGGTCTTCCTTTACTGCAGAGCGACTTGAACACTACTGCCCAGCAAGAACGTGTGGTTCTCACGCTGCATGCGGGTCCTTCAACCGGTCCAATATTGACCTGCATGTCAGGGTCCTGCAGGGTGAGATGACAACACACCCGCGCGGTTCCTCCACCAAATGCGGGCCGCTCCAGGGTCTGCAGTCTTACGAGCACGGGTAAGTAGATCGACCGCAAACTATGGCAGACTCCGTGTCATATCTGACATCCCACGTAGTGGCGTTGAACATGCTTACGGCGTGCTTGGCTCCGTACCACCTCTCTGCGTGCAAAGATCAAGGTCATTTCACCAATCAACAATCGATCAAGTTTGCGTAGAGATTTGAGAAATGGTGCCATCGTGATTGATTACGTGTTATCGGACTAGAGGAATCCTTAAGCCAGTTTCGCCCCAATTATACCATGACAAAGCTCGTGATGGTAGACGATGCAGTCCTTGACTATCAAGCCAACATCTGCCAGTATCTCATCCCACTCTTTTCTCATTCTCTCACGAGAACCACAAGCACCTAGCATTACCAGGTCTAACGAAGCTGCAAAGGACGGAACTCCGGCTTCAGGCAAAATCACGTCGTTGATTAATACCACAGACTCAGCGTTCATTGCCGACCTGATCTGACGCAAGATCTGCTTCGACTCATCATCGTTCCAGTTGTTAAGAATCCATCCGAGGTGATAGAACTTAGCGCCTGAGAGAGCGTTAGCACATTCCCTTAGGTGTCTAGAGCTACTCTCAGTATACCTTTGATGGGTTGGGGCTGGAAGAAGTCATGACCCATGAGTTCAACGCCAGGGGTCTTCAAGGCATGACTGAGGGTATCCGGTAGATCTTGCAAGATAACTCGGCCGGGGACATCCGGAAAGTTGTTCTTGAACATCGTGCAGTAGTGCCCAACGCTCCCACCAACATCCACGAAAGCTGGAAGCTCTGGGTTCCAGCCCTTCAATTGGCTTTGGATGGGATACACATTTAACCAGCGGCCTCGGACGGCCTGCTCCATAGCCATGTACTTGATTCGAGCACCCATATGCAGTGGGTTCTGGGAAAACCATTCGTTTGTGTCTAAATCAGTATTATATGCGGGTTGAAATACCGTGTTTTGGCCATCGGTAATATCCTGGTATTTTTTCGAGCGCAAGAAAGCAGGCATCTCTTGAAAAAGAGGTCCGCAGTTCTCAAAGCTACAACAGGGGTCAATTCTCAGCAATCGATCAATCGAGGCCCAAATTGAATACCTACAAATGCGTGACAATCTTTTCGGCTTCCGGAGTCGCCAGGTTTTGACTTTTCTTGCTGGCTTCGAATTGATTTACGCCAGTCTCGTGGATAAGTCCCACAGAGGACATGTATCGAAGCAGACGTCCTGTCAAACTTAGCGCTGTTGGAAAATAGTTCGGAAGGTTTATTCAGGACGCACCGAGGGTGATGGGGTGCGCGTGCGTCAGTATTTGTAACTCTTGGAGGCTTTGTGGACCAGCGTTTGTTAAAATTTCGAATATCTTCAAGTCCTGGCCAATGCGTGTTACTGAAAACTGCAAAGGCTAACAAATATTCAGCGACTGAGCAAAATTTAGATATAATACGAGAGCCTCACATAGAGTGATCTGTGAGAAGCAAGTGTCAATCCCCGAATTTCCTGTTCATGGAATGAATACCCACTCACATGCGCGTGGCAGTCTCTTCGGGCGTCTCTATACCGACTAACATCTCATGTATTTCACGAAGAACAGCTTTGCGCTCATTTCCATGAGAGGATATCAGTTGCTGTCTTACTTGTTCCATAGGGGTGTAGGCCATGGTTTGATAAGTTATGGATAGAGTCTAAGAAGATCCTGTGGCACGAGAAATTAGAGAAGAGCAGACGCAGTGACGATAGCTCTCATTTATAGAAGGTAACACAGCTTAGTAGGCAACCTTGTGTTGATTTCGCGGAAGATCACGTCTGCTTACGCCTTGTCCTCTCATCGTGTAGTTCAGGTGTTAACCATGCTGAAGTCACGGTGTTCACCACCTCCAATGCATTCTTCTTCTTAGTTAAATGTGGGTCGTGTATTGAAGGAACCTCTTATGAACGCCGGTTAATCTGTCTGGTTGACGTAAGTAAATACGCCTTAGCAAAGCTATTCTTCTAAGCATCAGCAGCCATAAACTATGCAATTAAAAGCCACAACTTACTAGATCCAGAAGAGCATCCTAGGAATTCTCGTATTATGTGCTTATCTTTGCACTCTTCCACCTGAGCTCGGGCACACATCTCTGTACTTCCGGCATCGGTACAGATTATAGATAAGGGAAAAGGAGAGATACTTACCAATCTGACTCATCGGAACGCCGGAATGGAGAAGCAAAGATGCACTATGTACACAAAGATCTTGCTATTACTATAGCGAGAGTATCAAACTTTGACAGTGGGACACTTCACACGTCTATTCCAACTACATGCAGCCTAATAGTCTCTAGCTTAACACATTTTCGCTTACATAAACTTCTCCTCCACTTTGGACTACACGCTGAGATAAGCTGAGTCAGAAAACTTAAAATGGCTTTGCATGCGTATTCGGGTCAGCCGCTTGATCTTCTACTGCGCCCATTGCTTATCCGTATATCAACTTGTTGGGCTAAGATGCAGGAGAGAAGATTCCTAGTGTTCGATAAGCCTATCAGGTTACACTAAAATGTTTGATAGTCAGTCCTACTAGGTCTATGTGTAGCAGGTCGTAGGAAGAGGCAGTGGATCGCATATGGTATGTGTTAAAGCCTTTGTAAAATGCACAGGCCAAGATGTTAGCTAGAATAGGCAGGCAGATAGACTTCCATCTCAGAAAAATAATTCGGAGAGTGCTACGCTGCGTACTGATTTTTCGAGCCGATCCTCCCCGACATGCATGATTACACCGATCATTTGCTATCGGTCCGTCCGTAGCCTAACATCCAAGTGGCTTATGCGTTTTCTTTATCAAAGGTTTGAAGAGCAATCCACGCTGCATTGCATCAGGCTTACCGACTTTTGAATCTTACATGCTACTCTGAGACTGGAGGCGTGCGCCAAGAGCGTAAAAGTTCACAAGCTGGAGCTGAATACGATGTCTTACGATGATGGCATGAAGGCTCACCTTGTGAGAACGACGAAGTGCTTATTAAACATGGTCTGTTCTCGACCTGTGTATGTAATCAGCATAATAGATAAATACGTCGTCGGCCTGACTTGTGAAATGTATGTCTAATCCATAGCTTGATCTTTCACGGGTCCCAGGGCATATTCAACATGACACGGGCCAAAGTTATCTATTTCTCTGGGGAAATCCCCCAAGGAGACCCAGAGGGTGACCAGCGTAACCTTTTCAGGAAATTACACCTACTTAGCAAGGAGAGGGACTATCCAATTCTAGCCTCCTTTCTTGAAACAGTGACGTGGGCTATGAAAGAGGAACATCGTCGATTGGTCCGGGCCCAAAGGGATTTATTACCAACCTTCGAGAGCATCTTGGACTTGACCGATCATGTAGTCGAGCTCAGAAAAACGTCTCTTGGTGGAGCGATTGAGCGAGTGCTGGTCCTTGCTTTTCAGCTTGGAAGCTTTATTGCGTAGGTGTCTTGCTAGCTCTCACATATAAACGGACATACTAACCCGAGACAGATACCACGAAGCTCATCCTCTCGAATACAACTTCCAGGCGTCTGATACCTTCCTCATTGCGAGAGGCCCAGGCATGCTATCAGCGGCAGCTGTCGCACTCTGTCCAAGTTTGCCAATGATTTCAAGCATTTCTGCAGACATCACAAGGGTAGCGTTCCGATTTGGACTAGTTGTTGACCAAGTCTGCCGATCACTTGAGGTTTCGCCGGATGAAATAAACTCCGCTGGAGCTTGGATATATTGTGTATACGGTGTTGATCCACAAAAAGCCCATGAAGCGGTTACCCGTTTCAACGCAGAGAAGGTGAGTTATATTCCTGAGTCATGCCAGGATTGCACTAATTTTCTGCCTAGGCATACGCTGAGACGAGCATGGCATCTGTCTTCAATGACGATGGAAAATCTGTCAGCATTGGTGGCCCACCGTCGACCCTCAAGACACTCTTCACAGAATGCGATTTCTTCAAACGTACCAAGAATGTACCCATGAAGAAAGTCCAAGGCATGTGGCATACGGGTAAGGTCTATGGTACGGAACATGTTCACCAGATCATCCCAAAGATCCATCAGAAGCATCAGTTGTATCTTCCACTATTCTCCCCTGTGAAGGGACAACCGTTGGAAGCAGCAAGCGCCACAGATCTTCTCGAGCAGATCATGGAGGAGATGCTAACGCAAAGAATTCGGTGGGATCGAACGATTCAGAACGTTACAGAACGGTTGAAGCAAGCCTCGCCAGAGTCGACCCAGTTGATCGCCATCCAACCATCACAATATGTTGAAAGCTTAATTGGACAGTGGAGGGCTGACATGCCCACTACCACACATACAACCGAAGACATGATGTCAGCAGTCATGGACCTTGCCTCTCGGAAACAGCCGTGCTAAGGATGCAAAGTCATCCAAAATCGCCGTCGTGGGTATGGCATGCCGCTTCCCAGGAGGTGCCGATAACGCAGAAAAGTTCTGGGAGTTATTGGCTCAAGGTCGAGACGTCCACAGTCCCATTCCCTCGGATCGCTTCAACATTGAGACTCACGTTGACCCAGCGGGGAAAGTTCCAAACACGTCCAAAACTCCTTACGGTTGTTTCGTAGACAATCCTGGTCTGTTTGACGCCATGTTTTTCGGCATGTCTCCCCGAGAGGCAGAACAGACCGATCCGATGCAGAGACTGGCCCTCGTTACCGCCTATGAGGCGTTGGAGCACTCAGGATACGTGCATGGTCGCGGTATCCACGCGCGACGCGTGGGCACCTTCTACGGACAAGCTAGTGACGACTACCGCGAGGTGAACTCCGGACAAGACGTCGGTACTTACTTCATTCCCGGAGGGTGTAGAGCCTTCGGTCCTGGCCGCATCAACTACTTCTTCAAATTTTGGGGTCCGAGTTTCAGTGTCGACACAGCATGTTCTTCCAGTCTTGCGGCGATACAAGCTGCATGCACCTCCCTATGGAGTGGAGATGTCGATATGGCAATCACTGGGGGCATGAACATCATTACCAACTCTGATGTATATGCTGGCCTCAGCAACGGCCATTTTCTCTCCCCGACTGGGGGCTGCAAGACGTGGGATGAGGGAGCTGATGGATATTGTCGCGCCGATGGTGTGGGTAGCGTGGTCTTGAAAAGACTAGAAGATGCTGAGGCTGATAATGACAACATCCTTGGAGTTGTGCTCGCTGCAGCCACTGATCATTCTGCTGAGGCAGTGTCGATTACACACCCCCACGATGTAGCACAGGCTCATCTATACAACCAAGTTGCTAGAAGAGCTGGGATCGACCCGTTAGCGGTTGGCTATGTTGAGATGCATGGAACAGGCACCCAGGCAGGTGACAGTAACGAGATGAAGTCAGTCACAAACGTCTTTGCTCCATCTACTGGCCACATTCGAGACCGGGACTCACCTCTCCACATTGGTACCGTCAAGTCCAACATGGGCCATGGAGAGGCGGCTGCTGGTATCATGGCCTTTGTCAAGACAATGTTGGTGTTTCAGAAAGGTATCATACCTCCTCACATTGGGATCAAGACCCGATTCAACCCAGCACTGCCAGAAGACTTGGCTAAAAGGAATGTGGTCATCCCAGTAACAGCAGCCATCTGGGTTCGGAATAGCGATCGGAAGCGGTTAGCCATGGTCAACAACTTCGGAGCCGCTGGAGGGAATACATCTATCATCATTGAAGAGGCGGCACCACGGCCGAGGACTAGCGAGGACGTACGAAAAGCGCAAGTCATCACAGTGTCTGCAAAAACTGCCAACTCTCTGCAAGAAAATCTCAAAGCTCTCGTTGACTACATTGAGGCGAGATCCGAACTCTCTGTTGCTGATTTGGCTTACACTCTGTCAGCTCGGAGGAATCACTACAACTATCGTGTTTCTGTTCTTGCAACTTCCACGGCTGAAGCAGCTTCTTTACTTCGCCCTCACATAAAGACCTCCCTGTCTCAGACACCACACTCGGGCAAACAGGTCCCCATAGCTTTTGCATTTACTGGCCAGGGTACGTTCTACATTGGCATCGGCGCTCAATTGTACCGAGACTCCCATGAGTTTCGCAAACACATCGATCAGCTGGACAGCCTCGTACGACGACAAAATTTCGCCTCCTTCTTGCCTGTTGTGTCCGGGAATGTTCAGCCAGAGGATGTTTCTATTGTTACCATGAACCTTGCCATAGTTTGTGTGGAAATTGCTCTGGCGCGACTTTGGGAGTCTTTTGGCATCAAGCCAAGCATGGTCATTGGCCACAGCTTGGGCGAATATGCTGCTTTGGCCGTCGCTGGTGTCTTGTCCGACAGTGCTGCAATATTTCTTGTGGGTACTCGAGCTAGGTTGTTGACTTCTAAGTGCACTTCTCGCACACATGGAATGTTGTCAGTACGAGCATCTGCAGCAGACATCAAACATGCAGGAGGGGATATTCCTTTCGAGGTCTCTTGCATCAATGGTCCCAACGAAACGGTTCTTGGAGGCACGCTATCAAACATGGAGGCTCTCTCGGCCACTTTGGCAGCTGCGGGCTATCGAACCTTCAAATTGGATCTTCCTCACGCCTATCACACGTATCAGATGGACACCATTGTGGACGAACTCGTCAAACAAACAGAGACTGTAGTCTGTAAGAAAACTACAATTCCCATCATCTCTCCTCGTTTTTCAAGAGTCATGACATCAGAAGACAGCATCGATGTTTCATACTTGATCGGCGCGACTCGGGAAACAGTCGACTTTGCTGGTGCTCTTGATGACGCGTGGCAGTCTGGTCTGGTGAACGAATCAACGATCTGGCTAGAGATGGGCCACCATCCTACTTGCTCTGGATTCATAAGCCGTACACTGTCATCGACTCGTATGGCTTTGCCAAGCTTACAGCGTGACACGGATAACTGGCTGACCCTAGCAAAAACACTTTGCAGCCTGTATAGTGCAGGCATACCTATTGACTGGAACGAATATCATCGTCCCTTCGAGCAGGCTCTTCGACTGATCGATGCTCCCACATACGCGTGGACCAACAAGAACTACTGGATCCAGTATCGTGGAGATTGGAATTTGACAAAAGGCCGCGCTATGCCTAAGCTTGATCCTACAACTACTGTTGTACCAGTGTCAAAGAGGTTTCAGACCTCTAGCATTCACCGACTTATATCAGAGCAGTACACCGACGGAAAGGCAATTCTGTCTGCAGAGTCTAGTATCACCGACCCTTCGCTCCAAGGCGTAGTCGATGGACATGCGATGAATGGATACGGAGTTGCTTCGTCTGTAAGTGTTTTGCGCATATCTACCTATATTCGTGGACGATTCTAGGCTGACATTACTTAGTTCCTTCACGCAGAGATGGCGTTCACGCTGGCGAAACGTGTTAGCGATAAGAGCTTCGCAAGCGCAGTTTCATTTGGTATCAACGTCGCTGACTTTGAGTATCACGAGCCCGTCGTCAAACTCATCAATACGAGTGAACCACAGCCCATCTTGGTCTCTGCTGAGGCTGATTTGGAAAAGATGGAAGTCCACGTCAAATGGTTCAATCCCGCCAAAGAAATTTGGTACTGTCATGCGACAGTGTTCTACGAGGATCCCTCTTCCTGGCTTTCCACATGGTCTCGCTCAACCAAACTGATCACTAGCCGCATTGACGCGCTTAACGATATGGCCGTTACTGGTAAAGCTAGCAAACTCACAACGGACCTCGCCTACAGCCTATTTGGCAAACTTGTTGGATATTCCAAGCTGTATCAAACAATGCAGTCGGTTATCCTGAATGAGGATGAGGCCATGGCTGAAGTGCAGTTCCCCGAAGATACTGGCGGCAGTTGGACCGTCCCGCCTCATTTCATCGATGGTCTCATCTCGCTGTCGGGTTTCATATTGAACGGTGGCACTCATTTCGATAATACGAACAACTTCTTCATCACCCCATCTTGGAAGTCGATGCGTTTTGCGCGGCCGCTAACTCCCGGTGGACGCTATACTGCCTACGTCAGAATGGTACCTTCCGACAATCACTCATTTGTCGGAGACGTATATGTTCTACAGGGCTCGGAGATTGTTGGCGTCGTCGAAGCGATACTGTTCTTACAGTGGCCAAGAGTAATGCTCAATCGCTTCTTCAGGCCGGCTGACGTCACGGCAAAGCCCGCAGCGAAGGTTCCTGGAAAGAGCGAACCCTCAACTCGTCCCCACTTCAAACCACACCACGTGTCACGCCACAAGCCTACTCTCACACCACGCAGCCCAGATGAGGGCTCTGAGAACTCTGACTCCTCAGGAGTGATAATCTCACGTCCCGGGGGCTATTCGTCATCAGACCAAGATATGGAGGAATTGCCCAGTCCTCCTGCTGGCATGAATGACGACATGGAGAAAGCTTTAGCACTGGTGGCAGAAGAGCTCGCCGTTGACATTGGTCTGCTCACAGATGACGCTTTGATCGCTGACTTGGGACTTGACTCTCTTATGTCGTTGGTGATGTCCCAGAGATTGCGCGAGGAGCTAGGCTTAGAGATCCGAGATGCGTTCTTCTTGGAAATTACTACTATACAGGATCTCAAGGCGTTGCTTCGATAGTTAGATTTTCCTTATAGATATTTAGATTTAGTAGTAGCTCTTTACGTAGTAGTATTTATTTTAGTTATAGAGATAAATAGAAGATACTGTAACTAAGTTAGCAAGACTAAAATAAGATTATAATTACTTTCTATTACTAATACTCTTAGTAAGTTAATAATCTATTAACAGAAGAGTTTAAAAGACTAGTATATAGATAAAGATTAATTCTTAATTAAGTTACTTAATAGTATAGTAGTATTAGATACTAGATATATAATAATACTAATTCTATAAAGATATAATCTAATTTATTAGTAGCTCTACTACTCTCTATAATATATTATTAACTAGTCTATAAATAACTTAGAAATATTTAGTATAGTATTTACTATTTAATATCTTAAATAAGTAGAGTTAAAGTAGAATTAAGGCAATTGTTAGAAATTGCTAAGTAGCTAGTGTGCTATGCTAAACATAGCGAATTGCGATATTAGCTAGGTATCGCTCGCTATACCTACCTATGTAGTTCGATACAGCAACTTATTCTGCGAAGCGCCTTCGTGTCTAAACTATAGTGTGAAAACTCTTTTCTAGCGACTTCCTTCAAAGGTCTAACCTCTACCTAGATAGGTAAAGTAATTAAGCTTAAGGTTATTAATTCTTCTTAGTTAAATCAGGTGGCTCGCGACCTCGTGAAGTACGTTACTGTATTCTTCCACCTACTTCGTTGAACGCTAGCAGGGAGCGGGACGCACCGGATAAGTTTCGACAACGTGCTCCTTTCTTTCATCAAGATTGGCTAAATCAGCTTAACGCTAGCAGGGAACGGGACGCACCGGATAAATTTAGATGACGTGCTCTCCTCTCTTTCATTAAGATCGGCTTGATCAGATAACGTAGTTTGATCAGATAACGCGGTTTGATCAGATAACGTGCTTCATCAAGGTTAGCTCGATCAGATTACGTGGCCTTCCTTAGTACTGTTGAACATTGTGGAGATGGATACCGTGGCTCCCACCTCTAGCCACCGTTGGGCGAAGGAGGCGGAAGAATACATATCCGGTGCGTCCCGCTCCCTGCTTGCGTTCGGTGCCGAAGAATACGGTATATGTGTCTGTAAACCCGCGTGCTCGTGATGTACAATCATAAGTCGAACTCTAAACTTACAACAGTATCGTATAATCGGCCGCCAAGATGGGTTCCATGCAGCAGCAGAAAGAGATCGCTACTCTCAACAGTCTGGCTGATCAGATCAAGGAGCTGGCCGCCAAATTGACGAAACAAGTTGAGGAGGAAAATATACCACCAATAACCCTCGAAGCGGACAGCCCGACAAGGTACGAGCGCATTCCGCGCGACATGTTCATGACGCGCCAGCTTCTCGAGGACGCGCTCAAAGACATGTGGATTCTCAGTCAAGGCCCGAGCGATAGCGTGTTCAACTACGTGCACACGACCGTGCCTGACGTTTCATGTCTAAACCTCCTTAACCAGTTCGACTTCTGGAATGCGGTACCACTCGACGGTGAAGCTAGCTTCGAGGAGGTTGCCAAACGCGTACAGCTACCGGTAGACGTTGTATCACGTGTTTTTGACCACGCAACTACAATGCGTTTCTTCACAAAGCCCTCGCCGTTCGCGACTTCTGTCCGACACACATCGCGATCGGCGGCTCTTGCCAAAGAACCAGGCCTGGCTTCCCTAGTGTCTATTGTCATTGAGGAGACGGCTGCGCCGATGCTCCTCCTGCCCGAGGCATTGCGGCAGTTTAGCCAGGGCAAGACCGAGCTTACTAAGAATATGAAGGAGACCGCGTTCAAGTTATGCCGTTCTGGTGGCATATGGGGCGAGTGGGAAAACAGTTGGGACTTCATCGAGAATGACGGAGTACCGGAGGGTCAGGCTGGATATGAGAAGAGGACAAAAGGGTGGAGGCAGAGGAACTTTATCAAGTTCATGGCGTATATCAAGGATCTGTTCAATACTGAGGACCTTGTGTATAACGCGCTGGATTGGGCTGGTGCGGGCGACATAACGGTTGTGGATGTGAGTCCTCCCCTTTCCTGCTCCAATTGGTGAACGTTTTTACTGACGTCTATACAGATCGCCGGCTCAGCCGGCCATGACTCTGCAGCTCTAGCCCGCAAATTCCCGAATCTCAAGATCGTAGTTGAAGATCTTCCAGAAGTCGCAACCGTCTTCGAAAAGGAATTCCCACACGACCTGCGCGACCGCGTGTCGTTTAAAACTCACAACATGTTCGACCCGCAGCCCGTTAGTGCAGATATCTACATGCTCAAATGGGTTCTTCATGACTGGCCTGATGTCGAGTCTGTTGCAGTCCTGCGTGCCCTAATTCCTGCGCTTAAGCCCGGTGCGAGAATCTTGTTCATCGACTACGTGGGCAAGCGTAGCCCGAGCGAAATCGTGCTTCCAAGGAGCATTGAGGCTCACGGTACTGCTACTGATTTGCGCATGATGACGATGTTTAATGCGGCAGAGAGGCCGGCGGAGGCGTTCAAGGAGATCTTCGAGAAGGCGGATGAGAGGTTCGAGGTTAAGAGAGTAGACGCGGACCTGTACATGTGTGTAATCGAGGCTGTTTGGAGGGGATAAGTAGCAAGATAGTTCTGACGTTGAAAAGTCAACGTCACTGTATCCTATTTCGATACTAGGCAATTGTACTTCTTTTACTCTTATCTCTTTCTATTAGCTATCTCTGCAATATTCTCTGTTAATTAATTCAGGTTATATAAGCGCGAAGTAGACATCTTAAAAGCTAGTCTATCTTATATAGATAAAGCCTCTCTACTATATAAAATATATTAAAACTAGAATTATATTTTCTATATGCAATACTATATAGAAACTAGATGCTAAAGTGCTAAGTATAAAATCAACTAAGTAGAGAAAAACTTTAAAGATAATAAATTCTACTACCTTTATCTTCTTATAGGTAGACTATGCCTAGAAAGATATAAAATTGCATAGAAAACTAGGTTAACTATAATTTTTATATCTAAAGAGTCTCTTAATAAAAAAGCTTAAAGATAGAGCTTCTTTAGCTACTTATAACCTACTAGTAGATAGAATAGAAAGACAATCCGTGAGACGTAGCTCAGCTAACACGTTCAGAAATCATGGCCCAGCTCCTCAAGCAGCACCCAATCTTCCCAACCGGACTGTCCCCTGCGTACAGCAACGTCGCCTACGCTCTCCTTGGCTACGCCCAGGAAGCCATCACCGGCCCAGCCCGTCAGCAGAGCCATTAGCGACAACATCCTCTCCGCCCTCAACATGACTGCGAGCAGCTTCAACACGCCGCCACCCTCCGTTGGCTGGGACTGGCAGACGGGGGCCATAGACACGGCCGCCTCCATCTACAGCTCCACAGGCGACATGATGAAGGCCGGGCGCGCGATCTTAAAGTCCACCACCTTGGCCCCCTCGTAGACCCGTCGCTGGCTCAAGCCCATGAGCCAGACGGGCGTGCTCGGATCGGCCGTTGGCGCGCCGTGGGAAACCCGCCACCTGGTGCTCTACAAGCGGCTGATGCAGCTCTACACCAAGCAAGGCGACATGGGCAGCTACCGTGCGGCGCTGGTGCTGTCACCAAAGCATGGTCTCGGCGCGGTAATTCTCTCTGCAGGCCCCATCGAGTCCAACTCGGCCGCTGGGCGCGAGACGCTCATGAACGCTGTCGGCGCCACATTCCTACCTGCAGCAGAGCTATAGGCGCGAGAAGAGACGCGCTCCAACTTTGCAAGGTCATACACAGATGCCGCAACCAACAGCTCTGTCAACATTATGGTCGACGCCTCAACGCCCGGCCTTAGCGTGACGCACCTCTCCGCCCGCGGCGTCGAGGTAATCAGTCCCTCCAGCCCCTTCATCCCGCTCTACGGCGCTGGCCAATCAGCGCGGCTCTTCCCATCGGGTCTGCGGACGAAGCGCGCAAAAGGCGAGCAGCACGGCCATCATACATGTCACGCCTGGGTTTCCGAGCGAGCTTCTTCAATGCAACGGGTGATGGCGGGGCGGTGCAGGACCCGGGGTTGATGCAGTGGACGTCGCTGGGGGCGCCGGCGTATGGGAGCGTAACGCTGGATGAGTGGGTGTTTGGGATGGGGGAAGATGGGGTGATGGGGAAGGTGGGTGTGAGGATGCTGAGAGTAAGCATGAAAAAGACGTAAGAAAGCGATTATACATTAAGGAAGAAGAAGAAGAAGAAGAAGAAGAAGAAGAAGAAGAAGAAGAAGAAGAAGAAGAAGAAGAAGAAGAAGAAGAAGAAGAAGAAGAAGAAGAAGAAGAAGAAGAAGAGGTATTATACGTAAAACGCTTAACGGTACCGCACTGAACCCACGATAACCCATATTTTCCTTTCCATCACCATATTACAATTACTCCGACACTCATGTCTCCCTATCCAACGACTGCGCCAAAACCATAGCATAATACCTCCCTCTCCTCGCCACAAGCTCCTCATGCGTGCCCTGCTCATCTACCTCCCCATCATGCAGCACCGAAAATGCAATCACATCGTTTAATCGTCGACAACCGATGCGCAACAGCAATGGTAGTTGTATCCGGTCTTTCCCTAGCAACTGACTCAATAGAATGCTGCACCAACGCCTCATTTGCCGTATCCAACGCACTGGTCGCTTCATCAAACAACAACAAATCCAGCTCGCGGATCAGTGCCCGCGCAATCGCGAGACGCTGTCTTTGCCCGCCGCTGAGCGCTACGCCGCGATTTCCTACGTCGGTGGAGTAGCCCGCGGGAAGACTGAGGATGAATTCGTGCATGTTTGCGGAGCGGCATGCGCGTTCTACGCGTGAGGTGGCTGTGGCTTCGTCTTCCTCGTCGTCGTGGAGACCCAGGAGGATGTTCTCGCGTATGCTGCCCTGGAAGAGCATAGTATCCTGTGATACCATGCCGATGTTGGAACGATGATGGTGCACGTCTTGCTCCGAGAGTGGTGTACCTCCGACTAGAAGCTGGCCGGATGTTACGTCATAGAAACGTTCTAGCAGGGCAATGATGGTGCTCTTTCCACAGCCTGAAGCCCCCACTATGCCGATGGATTGGCCTTTTTGTATGCTGAGATTCAGGCCTTTCAGGACATTGTGGTTCGGTCTGCTCGCGTACGCAAAGTTGACGTTGCGGAACTCGATGAGTGGAGCCTTTTCACATCCCGTCATGGTGATTTTACTACCAGTTGAGGTAGTGATTGGGGGCCTGGAGTCTCGCAAGGCAATGATGTGGTTCGCTGCTGCATGCGCTTTCGAAACATCAGAAGAGTATCCGAAAAGAACACCTGCTGTCTGAGAGCCTATAAGAACAGACATGAACGCGATGAAGAACTCGCGCAAAGTGTATTCGCCTTGCGACAACAGCTCTCCTCCATACCAAAATGCCAAACTGGTCACGGCAAGATTGACGCTCTCAGCGAAGGCATGAACAAGCATCGTCACCATCTTGCTGCGTACTTCTCGGCGCGAGCACTCTGCAAGGCGTGACTGGAAGGAGTCAAGCACCTTGTGTTCCAGCGTCAAACTGGAAACAGTACGGATCGAGCTCACGGCTTCGGACGCGAAGCGCGCACATTCCAGATACATATCCTTCAAGCGATCGTGATTCGCCATCTCGAGGCGCAAGCGAAAGTATCCGGCGCAGAAAAGTGTCGGCATGCCTGCGGCGACGACGACCACCGAACTTCCAAGCAATAGCTATGGCTAACACGGAGGTCGAGATGACGTCGACAAAGATGATGATTATCAGGGCCATGTTGGTGTTGACCATATTCCTGATCGCCTCGGGGTGCATGGAGAGCCGACTTGTCATTTCCGCCGCCCCATGTCCTCGCACATCGAAGAACGCCACGTCTTGACGAAGCATGGCGTCGAGATACTCGCGACGGTAGAAACGCGATGCGTGGCTGGAAGCCATAGTCCAGAAGAAACCGACGCCGAGATAACAAACGAGGATACCAAGATTAAAGACAAAGTACATCAATGCCCAGAAACTCCCTTGGCTAACAAGGTAGTCACTGGGCGGTATTTGGAGCGTTGGTATACTGTATCCGAATAGTACGGCTTGGCCGGGAAACATACCACCGCCGATGGTGGAAGAGACAATGCCGAAGAAAAAGAGTGGCCATGCTGTTGGGAGTTGTTTGAAGATGGTACCAAGGACCTTCATCAAGGAAAGTTTCCGTGAGATATCTTCTTCCTCATTTGTGGTCTTTTTGTCTTCCTCGTCGTCAGTGTGCTCAACCACAGACGGTCTGGACTCGACGGTTTCTCGGATAGCTGGCTTTTCTACGACCTCAGCCGCCGAAACGGCGGTAGTCGAAGGTGTCGGGAAGTCCTTGGATCCTGTATCTAATGATTGTGCATTGACGAGCTCGTAGTATGCACCCCCTTGAGCAAGCAATTGCTCGTGAGTGCCCTGCTCAATGACCTGCCCCCGGTTCATCACGACAATCTTGTCGGCCTTCTGAACGGTAGCAAGCTTATGAGCAATCAGAATTGTCGTTCGCCTCTTAGACACGTTGTCCAAAGAGGCTTGTACTTTGCTCTCCGCTTCGGGGTCTAGCGCTGAGGTGGCCTCGTCCAGTAGAAGGATTTGCGGATTAGAGATGATGCTTCGGGCTATAGCGACTCGCTGCTTTTCGCCCCCACTCAACAGTGCGCCACTGTCTCCTACTTTGGTATCGTACTTTTCTGGTAGTTCCTGAATAAAATCGTCCGCAAACGCCTGAAGGCACGCTTGTCGGACAAGCTCGCGTTTCTCGGACTCTGGCAGATTTTCCATCGGCGTCCTGTAAAGGCCATGAGCGACGTTGTTGTAGATCGTATCGCTGAATAGTACAGGCTCCTGCTGGACTAGACCGATGTATCCTCGCAGCCAGCCTAGGTTCAGTTCCGCGATGTTGTGACCATCTAGATAGATGTGTTACGATCTGTCCCCGGACAGTTCTAGTCTTAGGACAGAACCCTGTCCCTAGACTAGGACGTCCTAGGAACCTAACTGTCCTAGGACTAGTAGTGTCCTAAGAAGTTAGCTATATTATTATTATATTAGTATTTATAGATATATATATATAATAGCAAAAGTAATATTAGAACTAGAAGCATTATACAACTAATTAATATAGATTAGTCTCTTAGTAAATAGATTAGTAATCTAGAATCTATAGTAATCTTAACCTTAGTATAATAGATTATAATAGATTAAACTAAATATCTCTTAGTATATAGACTCTAATAATAAACTTTTATAGCTTATTATCTTTAACTTTATACTTTAAATTATCTAATATACTATACTCTTTATAGAAGCTTACTCTTACTATCTTAGTATACTTTACGTCTATATTTAGTACTACTTTACTCTATCTATAAAAACTAACTTAAGCTCTTTAATACTAGCTATCTAATTATTAGCTACTTAATAAATTTTAATACTTTAAAGACTCTTAAGATAAGTAATATAGCTATAAATATACCTAAGTTCTCTTAGATCTATAGATATTCTACTCTTAAGGCTTAGAAGCTTAATAAATTTTATAGAGACTATAATAAGCTTAAGAACTAAATCTTTTAGTTTAATTAACTATTTTATATTAAAGAAGATAAGATTAATAATAATAATAAAGTTATCTTAGTCTTTATTTATATAAAGAAAGATACTAAAAAATAGATACTATTTATTCTTAAAATTTATATAAATAATAATATTAATAATACTAGTAATACTATATTTATAGAAAGCTAGAATGTATTTAAGACTTATTTTAAGTAGATATTCTCTCTAATTAAGAAATTCTTAATTATAGAATAAAAAATCTAATATCTTAAATAAACTAAGTTAGCTACTAATTATACTACGCATTTTTAATAGTTTATAGTATAAACCTAATAGAGCACTGCTATACTTATAAGGATATATAAGTAAGATCTTAAATACTCTATATACGCTAAACTTATATATAGTAGAACTATAATTAATAATCTTAAAGATCTTATCTAAGAAGCTATTAAAGTTAATAATAAGTTATATAAGCTAGCTCTAGAAGAGAGAAGCTTCTAAATAACTAGAGAACTAGATATAAATTATTAATCTAAGAATAGAAGAAGATATATTTAATCTAACTATAGATAATAGTATTATTAGAAATAGCATAAAGTTCTAAGATTCTATAAAACTTATAGTTATAAGAAAATATATCTTAATAATATTAACTAAGGTAAACTAACTACTAAGACTTACTATAAGAAAAAAACTAAGATCTAGATGCCTAAGAATAAGGAATCTAAGATAGAAATATAGATCTACTATAACTATAGCAAACCTAGCTATATACTACGTAACTATTACTCTATAAATAAAGTAATATATTAGCTTAATATATTAACTAGCTTCTAAGATAAGAAAGCTAAAGAATAATAAGTTATTATATAGAATAATATAAAGCGCTAGAATAGGTCTTAACTAATACTATATCTAAAAAAAATTAGATTAAGAGACTTTAAGAACTAAGAGAGAGAAATATATAACTGTAAAGAATTATTATAGTAATATATATAAAATATATATTACTATCTTATTCTAGAAGTTAAATAAGCTTATTAATAGCTTTAGTATTAGCTTAGTTATCTCTCTTTTCTCCTTTCTGCTCTGTTTGCCTATATTTCGTTGTTCTCTATATTTAGCCTAAAATCTAGTTTTAGCTAGTATTAATTAGGCTTATCTATCCAGAATGCGGGGTAATAGTAAACTAGTAAAGTTAGTTTACTAGAGCTTATATCAGCAGTTACTAGTCTATACTAATTAGTATTAGCTAGTATTTTAGCTCTATTATAAGAACTACCGGTATAAGCTAGTTTACTAGTCTAAGGGATTTATAATATAATGAGGGATTTATAAGCTATTAGAGCTTATTAATTATTATAAATTATTAGAAATTAATATTAGAGTTCTAAACCTTAGATTTTAGTATAACAGAGCTAGAATAGTACCGGCTATAGTCAGATACAATAGTATTATATATACTATAGCTATCTCTAGAGTTAGATAGTACCTCCAATTCAATATTTTACCTATCGTCTATTATTTGCTACTGTTGCAAGTGTTATATAACTATTTTTATAGTTATCTATTATTACTTAATAGCTATCTTTCTATTTATGGAGAATAGTAGTTATTTATCTTTATATTACCTACTACTTTCTTACAGGTTATGAGCCCGGAGGTGCTTATAGCTATTAAGAATTTTATTTACTGTTTTCTATTATAGAAACAGGATAAAGCTTTATAGTATTATATACTATTAAGGCTAGTTAGAGCTTCTAGCTCGCTATACTTCTTTAGTTTTTATTAATTAGCTTTTAAGCTAGTTAATAATAACTAAAAAAGGATAAAGATAATAGTTTTACTATTATAAGATACTAGAAGAAACTTGAGTACTCTAGTAACTTATTCTAAGTTTAAAAAACAGTATTATCTAAGATTATATCGAGACTTAGTCTCTACTTGCTCTACTCTAGGAATAGAGGTGATTTTAATATAGTTTACTATATTAAAATCTCTATTAAAATATATATTATATATTTTAATAGGAATAGAGTTACTTAAGCAGATTACCTTGAGTAGCAGAGTTACTGCCTGTTTAAGATAAAAAGTATACTAGCTCCGTCCCTAATAAGCGTATTTAGACTATATTATTAATTAATAAGTAATTTATTACTTATTAATTAATAGTTAATTCTTTCTAGTTAAGGAAAAACTAGAAAGGTCTAAATCGTTATTATTGAGCGCAAAAATATATAATCTGCCTACAAAAGTCTACTTAGTAGCAATATATAATACTATATATATAGTATTATATATACTTTGTGTCTATATAAAGAGGTGGATTATTAATATAATAAATATACTTAAAAACTATATTTCTAGGAACTTTTTACCTATAAGCTTCTAAGTTTTAACTCCGTATAAATTCTCTTTATTACTATATTAGTAAATTTTACTATATAGTAATAAAGAGTAAATTTTGCGTTAGGTAAAAAGAAGAAATATAGAAATATTAAGTTATATTTATTATATTATTACTTTTATAGCCTATATTTATAGCTATATTAAGTACTTATTATAGATCTTTGAAAATAAGCTATATATTGCTTATAATAAGACTATAAAATTTTAAGCACTTTAGAAATTTACTATTTTCTAAGTTTTAAAATATAAAGACGCTAGCCTACTATAAAAAAGCAAAATATATAATATATATATTGTTAAGGCGCGTTAGTTCTGCTTAAGAAATAGACGCTAGCACTAGCGCCTAATTTATAAGAACGTTTTTAAAATCTGCTAGTTAAAAATCTATTTGCAATCAGCAAAATAAGATTTTTTAAGATTTTTTATAAAAATCTTATATAATCTAGCATTTAATATCTATATTATATCTATTCTATATAATATAGTATTATATATAGATATACGCTAAAATGAGCGATAATTCTATATTTAAAGTGCCTAAACTTAAAGGCTCTAGTAATTACGATATTTAGTCTATTAGACTAATAGCTATATTAGTAGAAAAAGAGCTTAGTGACTATATTTATGAAACAAATATAGAGCT